TCCGACTGACTGGACCGGATTTGTGAACTTTTTCGCGTGCCATCAACATTACAAGTCATCGGGTTGTTGTTGTTTTGTTCATGTTGTTGGTTACAGAAATCAAACATCAATTTTTGAACATTGAATTTATTTGATATATATAGAAAATATATAGATAAATTTGAATATACGGTATTATTCTTTTTTCGAGCCTAAATACAACATTACAAGTCATCGGGTAGTTGTTGTTGTTATTGATTACTAAAATCAGACATCATTTTTTCACACTGGATTTATGTCAAAATAGACAAATATGATTATGTGATTATTCTTTTTCTCGCGTAAACATTATGTAACATTACAAATCAAGTTTTTGTTGATTGCTTAAAATCATATAGACATAATTTCTTTTTAGTATCATGTCAAAACAGATGAATATGAATATTATTCTAATTCTTATCTAAAATATTGACAGATATGCACATAAAGAGATTCAGATGCTACTAAATCACCTTGTACAAGATCATCATATGTTAACGTTGTTATTCTATGCAATATTACTAGTTATAAGACCCCCCCTCCCCTACATACACACATACTCACATATTTTTCAAGGCCGTGCTTTGATATCTACTAATCTGAAGGGACGTCGGTAAAATATATTTGGATGTATGGTTCCTACAGAAGGACGAGACAGTGACAAACAGGAAGCGATGCACTGGGGGAAACCCAGACCTCAACTCAGATTAACATTCCTACGTTTATCAGCGAGACTGTGGGAGATCTGTATAATCCGAAGCACGTTCTCTGTAACTGTACCCGAACATTGCCAAGCACACTAAGGGTACGAAGGACCAAAACGCCAAAATTTGTGCTCAACGAAGGAACTAAATTCAACAGAGAAGGGACTAATTTCAACAGAGAATGAGCTAACTTCAACAGCGAAGGCGCTGTGCTCAGCGAACGTCCTGTGCTCAGCGAACGTACTGTGCTTAGCGAAGGAGCTGTGTTCAGCGAACGCACTGTGTTCAGCGAAGGAGCTGTGCTCAGCGAAGGAGCTGTGTTCAGCGAAGGGGCTGTGTTCAGCGAAGGGGCTGTGTTCAGCGAAGGGGCTGTGTTCAGCGAACGCACTGTGCTCAGCGAAGGGGCTGTGTTCAGCGAAGACCCTTTGCTCGATCAGTGTTGATGCCCTAACGGCTAGGTAAAATTATAGCACCATCTTTTCCTTTCCAATTAGACCCGACAGTCCTACAATTTATCCAACAGTCCTGCAATTTATCCAACAACCGGATTCAAAATATTACAATCATGAACTTTTAAGATGATTGTTATAAATAGAGGAATGAATGACGACCTTTATTGGGCATTTCGCCACAATTGGTTAAGTATAGATCACAACAAAACAAGATACGAACGAACAGATACATGGTCTATTTCTATTTGTAAATCTTGGAGAGTGTGTTGGTTTATTACGGCTCCACGCACTGTGAATGATACACATGATGCAGACCATGGTCTTGTGCTTTCCATGATGTTTGGGTCTGATACTTGTACATTACTTTGTACAAGGGGGACTTGTTTTCTTGCGACACATAGAAAACTGTCTGATCATATTTTACCTACAACAATGAAACACTAACTAAAGAATATTTTTTAATACTAGTACCAGACACGTACGCTGTCAACACTATTTTTTCTTCAATATGCTGTTATCTGATCTTAACCGCCATTGTTCTCATACTGAGACTCGTACGGAATGCAGGAAATCGCACCTCTGTGCCAGTCGTCCCTAAGCGGTTGACAAAGGTGATTAGGTGATTTGGAGCTTGGGGGATTAGGGTGGGTCTCTCGACAACTTTTACGCTTTTATATAGCCTCTACCAGGCTTGGGGAGGTGGCTGGAAAGAGTAGAAATCGGCCAAATAGAGAGATAAGCATGCCAAGGGAGTGTGTCCGTTGAGAGAACAGTTCGCCGGCTAGCTTTTATACCGAATTGAATTTTCTAGAAACACAATCACTTAAAAATAGTAGGTCATCTTGATACAAATTACAATATGTCAAATAGCTTTCCTACGCCAAACGCCATGAACTCGAGAGCACAAGACAAGTTTTGGGCGACCCCACGTAGTATGACTACAAACACATGGTTCGCGTCACCTTCAAAACACTTATTAATAAGTATAGTACAGTCAATTAATGCGTGGAAAACAGCTCTATAAGAAGCTAGAATGGCTGCACTGTGTGTACTATTCACAGTGAGTGGTGCCGTAAAACCAAACACTATCATCCAAGATTTACAAATGCAGATAACCGATCTAGGCCAAGCTATATATTCTGGAATGCGGTACTTTTTTGAAGTGACGTCATCCATGTATATGTTTTCATAGTGCGTAGAGCAAGGAGCCAGTAAAACAGTTAGGAGAAGCCAGAAAGGCTGCATTGGGTTTTGGGTTATTTTTGACGTGTTTTTTAGGCTTTGTTAACGGGGTTTCTTTTTGCGATGGGACTTTTTTTGGGTGAAAAAAATTCCAGTGCAAAAAAGAATCCCGATAAAAAGCCTAAAATTAAAAACGCACCAAAAATAACCCCAAACCCAAACCTCTGCTTGGACTGGAGAGTACTGCATCGTGTGTATCATTCACAGTGCGTGGAGCCGTAATAAACCAACACACTCTCCAAGATTTACAAATACAAATAGACCATGTATCTGTTCGTTCGTATCTTGTTTTGTTGTGATCTATACTTAACCAAGTGTGGCGAAATGCCCAATAAAGGTCGTCATTCATTCCTCTATTTTATAACAATCATCTTAAAAGTTCATGATTGTAATATTTTGAATCCGGTTGTTGGATAAATTGCAGGACTGTCGGATAAATTGTAGGACTGTCGGGTCTGATTGGAAAGGAAAAGATGGTGCTATAATTTTACCTAGCCGTTAGGGCATCAACACTGATCGAGCAAAGGTCCTTCGCTGAACACAGCCCTTTCGCTGAGCACACGCTGAACACAGCCCCTTCGCTGAGCACAGCCCCTTCGCTGAACACAGCTCCTTCGCTGAACACAGCCCCTTCGCTGAGCACAGTGGATTCGCTGAACACAGCCCCTTCGCTGAACACAGCCCCTTCGCTGAACACAGCTCCTTCGCTGAGCACAGTGGGTTCGCTGAACACAGCCCCTTCGCTGAGCACAGTGCGTTCGCTGCTGAGCACAGTGCGTTCGCTGAAAATAGCTCCTTCGCTGAGCACAGTGCGTTCGCTTAGCACAGCCCCTTCGCTGAACACAGCTCCTTCGCTGAGCACAGTGCGTTCGCTGAACACAGCTCCTTCGCTGAGCACAGCGCGTTCGCCGAGCACAGCTCCTTCGCTGTTGAATTTAGCTCATTCTCTGTTGAAATTAGTCCCTTCTCTGTTGAATTTAGTTCCTTCGTTGAGCACAAATTTTGGCGTTTTGGTCCTTCGTATAAGGGTCTATTTTGCAAACAGTACATAGTTTTAAGGTGGCTAGATTCGCCTCTTGACAACCCAATACTGCCGCACACATTGCAATTCTGGCAAACTGTGTATATACCTGCCGACATTTTGTGAAGACAAAGTTGTAAAATGACTTATGATATTAAACATTGCCAAGCACACTAATGGCTTTTTTTTGCAAACAGTACATAGTTTTAAGGTGGCTAGATTCGCCTCTTACTACTACTATACACCTAATACTGCCGCACACATTGCAAGTCCGGCAAACTGTGAAGTATTCTTCTTTGTCTCTGCCGATATTTTGCGAAGACAAAATTGTAAAATGACTTATGATATTAAACATTGCCAGGTACACTAAGGGCCTATTTTGCAAACAGTACATAGTTTTAAGGTGGCTAGATTCGCCTCTTGACGACCTAATACACCGCAAACATTGCAAGTCTGGCGTAGTGCAGTCGGCGACAAAATACTTTTCCTTTGTCTCTGCCGATATTTTGCGAAGACGAAATTGTAAACTGACTTATGATAATCCTCGTACTATAAGCTCCATCTGTTCTTACATTTACAACTGTCTTAAGAAGCGAGAAGAAGCAGAACCTGTAGATATATTTCAGTCTACCATTGCTATTTACCATGACCTGTACTTAGTTCGTAATGAGCAAATATGTATAATAAAGGTCTTTCATTCATTAAAGGGGGAGGGGGGGGGGTCAAAAAGCATTATCGTTAAACTGACCGCAGTGTTAGTATAGCTGAGAATATTTACTGTTATATAAATATGGCAGTGGCTAAAGCACAACATCTCTGCAACCACTACAGTGTTTTTAAACACTTCACGCACTCGAGCTATCGCGACTAAATATAGGCATTGGAAAGAATCGCTTGTTTTAATTTTGCTTAGCGGAGGCTGAGTCAGATAGAGTTGGGGAATTTTAATTAGATTCTCAACGAGTAGTTTGGATTTCTTAGAAGTGGTGAGAGCGCAAAAACAATGTTTGGCGCGGAAAAGTTTGACACAAGTATGTATGCAAGCGGCAGCTAGTTTAGATATCACGAACGAATGTGTGTTGCAAAATTTAGTGCTTGTTTTCGTCAAATTTAATTGGCAGAAATGAGCCCCACGTTTTGTTTTAATATAGGTTACCATAATGTGAGAGTGATATTTTTTGACGCCTCTTGGGTATGTTTTGACATTCTAGAAAGGCGCTATGGTCTCTTATGTGCCCCTCACAGCGAGCAGCCGTCACAACCGTGTGCACTTGCGCCTTGTTATGTCCACTTCGAGAAATAACTGGGGGTAACCCTTAACCGGCACTCACGTTTCGTGTGTGCGGGGGACTGTTCGTTCTTTGAGTAGTCTGGGAAAATATACACAATTCGAGACATTTTGGATATTTCTTTACAAGAAAAATGTAGCGTAAATTGATTTTGTATGTGGTATTTTTATATACACGGCAAGCTGGGAAAATTGGCAGTATACTTTTAACTTACGACGCCCCACTCGCTGATAGTTACTGATTCTCCCCCTGCCCAAATGTAACATTACCATACCTGGTCATGTTCGTCCTCTATGTCGTCTGCGAGTACCATCTGCAGGTTCACAATGCCCGTACTCCGTCTTTTCTCCCGTATATGTCTGTTCTTCAGCTTTCTGCCGCCCTTCTTCTCCTTCGATCTGGAGGTCTTCTGGGGCTGTTGTTCCCGGTCTTTTGGGGCGGCGCTGGCCCCTTCTGGCTGTTTAAAGTTCTCGGGCGTTCCTAAGTTCGTCTCGGCGGCTGTCGCCCCGTGCACCCGCGTCTCTTGCGTGTATAACGCCGTGGTGCTTACGGTGGTGACCGTCGTCTCGGTGTACTGCGTAGCCGGCATGGCCTCAGCCCTCGCCGCGACTTCCATCTCTCTCGCCCGCCGCGCGCGTATCCTTGCCCTCCGTGCCATTTTATCTTCGCATCGCTCCCCTGGGGCGAACGCACGGCCGTCAGCGGGCTCCGCCATGTTTCAGCCGGGGTACTTACCGGCGCGATCACGTCACTCTGTAAGCCGACACTTCCTCCGCGGCGCCCGGCCAAGGCAACTCAAGCATTTGGCAGTAAGCGAAGACATTTCAAGAATTTGCTTTCGCGTCTTATTTTAACCTGTGAGGTTTCGACTTGACGGAAGCGAAGCGGAGACTTGGCGGAAGGCTGGTTCTCTCGCTCCTGTACACAGCTGCTTGCCTCATTTTTTGCTCCATTCCTAAAAAGAACAAAAAAAAGAAAAACATTTCTGCCTTTTCTTACTAAAAATTAATTTGATATCATTAAAAACAAATAATATTATTGCCATCACACATACAGTCAATACATATACATGTATTTATAATCAACAAAGCATGAACTAAGAATTCTATATCCATGTAACATATTCATTTCAGCAATAAAAAAGACAAATAATAACTAGCTCAGTTGTTTGTTGTTAGGAACAGTTGGTTTTTATCTTGTAATGATATTTGACAGTTACATCTCTGATATACTGTAAGCTAGGGTTGACATTTGAAGTGTAGCTGATAATGTTACACTGTACTAAATTAATAAGAAAAGAATCATATTATATGTGCTTGGGTCCTCTACATTGTATAGTATACAGTAGCCAAAATTACTACTCATAATTTTTTTAGTTAACAAAATGTTTAAGAAAATTTAATTCTGAAATTGACAAAAAATGTTTTTGAATAGACGTCCAGTCACGCAACAAATTAAAACAAAATAATTTATATAATTGAAATATATGTATAGACTATAAAGGACTATTTATTCTAATTTAACTATGTACCTAATATTGAAATTGAGTCGTAAATTAGTTATACTTCTTACAGTAAACAACTTATAATGACATATCTTGCTTATAATAACTCATAGTGACATAAACGAAAGGCCAACCATCCTTGTGGCGTAACCAGTCTTACGACGCAAACATTGTGGACTTTCTTCGTCGACGTAAGAGAGGAATACATGTGTCGTCTGACAATGACGTCATCAATGCAGACACACGAAAACAAGCGCCAAATATCACCTACTCGTTGTTATATCGTATAGATGAAAAAAATACAAGTACCTTTCTCTTTTTAAATATCTGTTGTAATTTGAGTCAAGAAATTAATTAACATTATAAAGTAGTATGTATAAAATATCCCTTGTCACCATCTACATTAGCCCAGTATCAGTAACTTCGAAGCGACCTCTGGCGGAGTAGAATAGAAGTACATTGTGTCTCATTGCTTGGCAGTGGCCCAATCTTCAAGCAGATGTTGGGATGCTAAATGGTTACGTTTTCCTACCTGTCCGTTTTGTAACGTGTCTATAGATAGTTTGAAAGACTTGCCATTGCCACTTTGATTGCATTTTTGATTTATAATTTGAGAAAATCCATGGCGATCAAGACACTATCTAATCTCCAAGCAGATCCCTCTCGGTGGCAAAAAAGACAGTATCAAATTGGCCAGGCAGTATCCATTAGCCAGAGAAGGTCCGCGGCCACCGGTGAGGATCAGGACAAAAAAACGGCCATATATAAAAAGGTAACGATCATTCCCCACAACCTCTGCTTGGAAAGTAGACACTATCGAGTATAGAAATAAGCCATGATGGCACTGGTATACCTACAGAGAAAATAACATCCAAAATAACACGAGAAACCATAGATTCCCCTCGTCACAGGTCGTTTGCGTTACTTCTTCCGTTCCGTCCCATGTGGCGCCCTGGAGCTCACTGAGGAAGTGTTCTCTGGCGCCTTGACTTGTTCTACCTCAAGCACCCCTCCACTCGCACACAATGGTTTCCCCCGGTAGAAGGCTAACGGGTCGACTGGAGTTACACATGTTCAGCCACCGTGTAATATGTTAGCTGTGGAAGGATCAGATGTAGTCTGTAAAGTTGTACATTGTACGAACCAGACCGACTAAGTACATGTATCAGTAGTTTTTCGACCTACTAGGGGCTGGCTCCAGACTGCAAGAAATATATATATACATTGTACGCACCAGAGGAACTTCTTTTTGAGTACCGTATTGAATCTATTTGTGAAAAAAAATTGATTTCCAAATCGCGCACAGGCAATCGTAAGTACATATTTTAGAAACAATAAGGTTCTTTATTTGCAAACGAACAGTGCATGCTTTAGTATCATATCTCGAAATCATACCTTTACAATTAACGGTACAAATTTTAAACGTTCTAATTAAGCTATCAAAGTAGCGCAACGTACGACGATGATGATATTTCTGTAAGCTTTAACTTGTGTTTGTTGCTTAAGCTTGTTTCTTGACTAATATATAGAGACTTAAGACGTCCAGCTTCTACTTGTCGTCTGCTTTCCTCACTAACTCAGAGATCTAGCCTACTACTTGTAGTTTGTTTGTTTGTTTGTTTGTTTTTCTCACCAACAGAGACCAAGCTTCTGCAAATAGTTGTCGTCTGTTTTTTTATTCCAACATGTAATCACCAGTGGTGACGACACACTCAAGTTTTTTCAACTTATATTAATGCCGCCACCAGCACAGGGCCAAATACATGACAGGACAATACTCATTTACATCTGAGCTAAGTGAGGAAAGTCGTGTTAAGATCGGTGGCATGTCAGGACTCGAACCCGGGACTCTTAGTTCCGAGTCGCACACAACCCCACGAATTGTCGTCTGTTTCGGTCTCACAGAAAAGACCTATCATTATACGTTGCAGCTTCGATTAGTCGTCTGTTTTTCTCAATACGAGACCAGCCTTCTACTAATATGTGCACCTGTCGTCTGTTTTTCTCACAAATAGATACCAAGCTCCTACTCGTAGCCTGTTTCCCGATAAGTAAGAGGGTCTGCATGCCCTTTTTCGTTAACCGTTATGGGCTATTTTAATTTACCGTTAATCGTTGCCGGCCAGCTCTAATTCAACGTTAAGCGTTATCAGTATATTCCTCGTGAAGCGTTATTGGTCGTTTTAATTCAACGTAAAACGTTATTTGTCATCCTAAATTCAGCGTTAAGCGTTAATGAATAATTCTTCGTTACGCCTAATTTTGCCTTTCAAAATGCAGGAAAATGCGTGATTAAAGGTTTAAAAATACAAAATTTCCCGGGGGAGAATGCCCCCGGACCCCCCTACATTGCTCGCGCCCTTGGCGCTCGACTCGAGCTTCATGCGCTCGGTCCCTTCGGCTCTAGCCAGAACCAGTCTTCCCTTCAATTTCCGGAAGTTTGCGGAGAGTTACAGTAATTTTTTTAACGAATCCGTCAACCTTGACAGGCAAATTAACAAAAATCTTGAGTAAAATATGAAAACATACGAAGGACCGACAAACACTCTCAACACCATGATTTGCCTCTCAAAATGCGGGAAAATTGCGTTTTTGAAGGCTTAAAAATCCTAAATTTCCCGGAGGAGCATTCCCCCGGACCTCCCTGGATTACGAACGCCTTCGGCGCTCCCCTCTCAAAATCCATCGGTAAAACTGGGCAGACTGAAAAAATGCAAGCTGTCCGACGTCGACTCGGACACCCCGGTATTTATGGACGCACTCGGGGACCAGGGCAGGTGGGAAACACAGGGGACACATACCTTTAATGCATGCTTCATTACATGAAAGGTATACGTAATTTTGTCAGTGATCACCTTTTCTCACAAAGCAAGATATTAAGTCCAGTGCAGCTCGAAAAAAAAAGCCTGTCAATTTACCGTTAAGCGTTGCCGACCGTCCTGAATTTACCGTTAAGCGTCATCGGCCCTGCTGAATTTACCGTTAACCGTTGCCAGGACCCCCCATGCAGACCCTCAAGTAACCGTGGCACGTGCCGGGTTCTCCCTGCCTATTGTACGGCGTGGTTCGTGAGTCTGTGTCGGTGATCCTAATCTCGGGTATCTGACCAGGGAAACAGTAGCGGGGTGTACCCTGCCATAGAACACCGTGTAAACAACACGGTACCGACCGACACACATAAACAATGCTTTTCACCACACAACTTTATGCTGTGGTCACATTTCCAAACCGGGGCCCGGCCGGGTTGTTTCGATTAACGAAAAATCAACAATTTGTATCAAAAACATACGCAAATAGTTACCATTATTAATTTTCTTCAACGTTTTCTGTGCTTCGTTGTCTTTTATATCATACTTTTCGTTCCACAAGACTGATTGGTCGGGTCCCAGTTTGGAAATGTGACCTCAGCATAACCGTTCTACTGACGAAAAGTATACTAGCAACTAGTTTCGCTACCGTACACCTTTGTCAAGATAGTAGCCAGCAAAACTTCTTGTAACTATAGGCATTTGAAAGCAGTTGTTGCTCATACAAACCGATACAATTGCGTTTACAAAATAAGTACTAGTATATGTACCAGAGTCGCGAACAGAATTGTCTTTTTTTTCTTCTTCAAAAGCAAGCATGAAGAGTCCATTCCAGCACAGGAAAATAGCAATGTGTGCCTGAAATATTTTTAATTTCTTGTAAAAGTTTTAAGCCGTACGTACCTTGTGGTTCAGAGGCCCTAGCTATATAGAGAGTAAAAAGGAGTAGTATATCTACCTTGCGTTGGTCGACCGTGGCAAACTTGCATATATCGGCAAACTTGCCCTGGGTTTTAGGGTACTAATACAGGACTCAAAATCAAGACATACGAGAAATGTGCTTGGAAAAGGCGAGAGAACATAGTCCGCACAAGTAAACTAGACATGATTATGATAAAGATCACTACGCGGAAAGCTACAAGTGCTTATAATTAGATCAATGACGTAATTACATCACATCGCGATGCAGGTGTGCGAAATGACGTCATAATTAGGATGCCTCGCGCAGGTGCGCAGGACGACAGCGACTCAGTTTAGTTTTTGCGCCATTCTCGAAAGAAAGAAGATTGGTAACAGCCGGAGGGTGAAATATTCTTCTCGGGAAGGTGCATTACCGGAACTAGAGAACATGTGTGACAGAACCTGACCTGAAGTTCCTCGGCTGCGGGAAGATGGACAGAATTTGCGGCGCAGCTGGCATGGACGAGCCGGTACAGGTTGTAGACATCACATCGGACTCTCCTCCTCCACCAGAACGTGTATCGTCTACCTCGTCAGAAGTTCACGAAAACTTGGCTCAGAATGTCTGCTTCCGTCCTAAACCGTTTACAGTAGACTTCTGCAACGTGGAAAAGACGCAGGAAGAACCAACTAGGCACGGTCATGCGTTTGTCGGTGAGGGGTTCGTCCAGCCACCGCCTGCTAGCAACCACCTGCACGGTAACTTCGTTAACTGTGGTAGAGAGTTTGAAAACTGTTCGCAATATCGTCCGTTTTACCCCGGCGTTCCTTGGCAGTCGTATTTTCTCGGCGGGAACACCGTGAGCTCCTTCACGACCCTCGGGGCCAGGTGCAGTACGGCCCCGTCCGTTCGTCCTGCGGTCGCCGCTCACTCCCTGCAGAGCCCGTACGTCAGTAACCACGCCCGGCCGGTCCCCGTGCCTACCCCGCCTCCTGAGAGCGACGACATCGGCTACCTCCGAGGAAACGGCTTCCTTCTCTCCGTCCCTTCCTTCCCAAACCTTTCTCCAGAAGACGTCGACAAAACTGGACATCTTACTCAAGACATTTCCCCGTCCAATGCTACTTGTGTTGACCTAGAAAGCTTCTTGCAAAAAGACGACGATTCGCGGCTGACTCCCTCCCCGGACGACCCCAACCCTCCGCCGTACGTTGGTGAGGGCTTCGGCGGGCGCCACGCCTTCCGCGGCCCGCCCGCTGCCGTCACGTACCCGACGCCCAAGCCCGAGCTGCTGAGTGATGTGTTGCGGAGGGAGGGCGGCTCTCTGCCCGTGCCCGTGGCGATCGTACGCCGACGCCGCCGGTCGAGCGGCAGTAGTTCGCTGTCAAGTCACGACGACCCAGAAGACATTATAGCAAAGGTATATCTTACAAATATTTTAACAGCAGAAATTGCCCGATATTTTGCTATCATTTATGGTTATTATTTACATCAATACATGTACAGTATACTTATTCTTTTCTGGTGATAAATTCTGTACACGTATTATTAATTGTTTGTGCTCATATCAATTTTGTTCTCAAAATCATTACATCATTCGTGATCAGAGGAACACTGTTTCCTCGTTTCCGTGCAATATGTATTTTACGCTATAAATTGCTTGTATACATCTTCTTATGCTTGTGTACATCTTCTTATTTGTTTATTAATCAATTGATTTGTTTGTTTGTTTGTTTGTTTGTTTGTTTTGTTCGTGACATGATAGAGACGTGAAGCTAATGCCCGTGAGCGCCAGAGAGTACGTAACTTGAACACGGGGTTCGCCAAGCTGCGTCGCATGGTGCCTTCCCTGCCTCCCAACCGCAAACCCAGCAAAGTGGACACCCTGCACGCCGCCATGGACTACATCCGGACCCTACAGTACGTCCTACAGGAGGCGAACAAGTCCCGGGCTGTCCCGCTGTCCCGTCCCGTGTGTTTCCCGGCGTTGGACGGTGTCCCGGGGGACAACGTCACAGTTGTGTACGGGACTCCAGGGGAACAGGTCAACATGCCACTGGACCCCGGCCCACTACAGGTAAGTTGCCCTTGGACTATTGTATACAAGTTTCGTGTTGTCCCGCTGTCCCGTCCCGTGTGTTTCCCGGGGTTGGACGGTGTCCCGGGGGACAACGTTACGGTTGTGTACGGGACTCCTGGAGAACAGGTGAACATGCCACTGGACCCCGCCCCTCTACAGGTAAGTTGTTCCTTGAACTATTGTATACAAGTTTCGTGTTGTCACACCGTCCCGTGTGTTTCCCTGGGTTGGACGGTGTCCCGGGGCACAACGTCACAGTTGTGTACGGGACTCCAGGGGAACAGGGGAACATGCCACTAGACCCCGCCCCTCTACAGGTAAATTGTCCTTGGCCTATTGTACATATTCTAGAGTGGACTCATTCCTCAAGCTAACCGACATCAAGCACATCACAATAAGATACCTAGAGCTACGTTCTAGCCTCTACGTATACCAGGCTTTGGAAAGCAGCTGGAAAGACTAGAAATTGACCAAATACATGTAGATTATATGTCAGGCTAGTTGGTCCACGCCAATAGAACAGTTTGCCGCTCACTTAAACTGTTCTCTTAGCGCTGACCAACTTGGCCAATGTCTACTCTATTTGACCGCTTCCTGAATAGAAGGTAACAAAATTTACGTCTGAAACTTTTATTCTGCCTCTCACCACCGACCGGTGCCTGTGCTAGATGTCGGTTACCTTATTAAGGAATGAATCCACTCTACAATATATTGCCCTTAAGCTTGACTTGTCCATCATTTTTCTTACCCTAAATTATCGAGTTGCTTGTCAGCATAAAGGACGCATGTAACTGTACGATTTTTATTATTTGTATATACAAGTAAATATGTGTTCTTCTACTGTTTACAGAATTTTCTAGGATTTCTAATTGAAGAAAATCAAATAAAGATTATCAATGTGATAAACTATACTTTATACTGATCTTCCCACAGGTCCAGGCAGTTGCCGTGCCAGGAATGGAGCATTTCTTACTACAGCACAACAACCGGACAGAGGTGCGTCCTGTTTTCGTACCATTTTTTGTCATCACGCTCAGGCAAAAAAAAAAAAAGACGATTTGAAGTGGCAATTTTAGCTAGCAGTGCAGATGAATTGGGACATCAACTTTGCTTTCAACGACCTTAGTTTACAAACCATGCCTTGCCTTTCGAAACAAGAAATTTGACAACGTTTCTCTCTATTTGATTGACGTGTTTCATTCAAATAATCTAGTCTTAAGTCCTCCCATAGCCTCTGTCTCCTTGAAACCTTACTATCCCCGCATTCCTTAGCAGATTAGTAACTTAAAGACGCGTGTGGCTGATCCTTGAGTGTAAGACAGGGCCGGTAACAGTATCTTTTCTTGGCAGTGGTTGTGGAGAATGCCGCATGTGCAGGGCGGAAACATGTAAACGTCGCCATGTTTGCCAACCGGTGGTCGGTTTCATCCCAAATCAATTGAATGATGTTAACGCTTCATATAACAGTGGATGGCCGCGTGCTCAAAATATATCAAAGAGAAAAAAATTAATTTGTTTACTAAAGATTTCTTCCTTCAAAGACATATCAGAGCAGAAAGAAGATAGGTGATAGTGGATTGGCATAAGTTTTGTGTTTGAAAGATAGGTTTTGATGATCAAAATCGTTTCTGTAATGAAAAAGAAAAGAACAAAGATCACACGCATAGTTTGTAATGTCCATGGGTGGCCTAAATCGTACCTCCGTGTCGCATGTGCAAGCTTTGTTTCACAACAAGTGATTGTGGTACCAAATGGTCCGATTAAAGGTACTTTAATCTGTAGTTTTGCTTGATTGTCCTCGTTGTACGATTCTCCTATCGAGTCTTTTATCTTATCCTATCTTACACTTGACTGCAAGCAAACAGAATGCTACTATTATTGTTTTATTCCAGTTTTATTTATCTCACTATAAATGCATTCGTCCACTTCCTTCCGTCCGTTCATTCATTCACTCATTCCACTATTCTCTTTTCTTCTGTCCCGCCAGTCATCACTTCACTTTCTCAATTACACCATGCCTCAGTTTTTATATCTTTCCTCTCTCAGTAAAACATTTTATGATCTGTAGAGTCTAATGTATAGTCTTCGTTGTCGTTCCAGGGCGGTTCAAACCGGCATGGGGAGCAGATGTACCTAGAACCCTTCGCACTCAGGAACGTGGAAAGACAGGGTGAGTAAAAGAGAGGGACAGTGTGAAGAAACCAACGCGACAAAGGCCCATTTTAGGCACAGATTTTTGCGACAACTTCGGCAGAGAATTTGACGACAGCGAGACTTCACTGTCGGAATTCTCTTTACACTGCGTTATCGCTGTCACCAATCCCGCTGTCGCGAAAGTCTGTGTCTAAAGTGGGCCAAAGAGCGATGCCGGGGCCGATTGACCATAAGGAACATACAATTGACCAAAAACTTTATTATCGGTATTGCAGCTGCCCCAAACTTTAGCAGTGACAATTAATTGCGATTGCTAACTTTGGAGAGACGATGGCTACAGACGCCTCGATCCAATGATAACCCGATTGTGGGTTGTGTGGCGTATCAGAAGAGTGCTCAACTCCAGTCGGAACCAAGAGGTCCCGGGTTCGAGTCCTGAACATGCCACCGATCTTGTGCCCTTGGGAAAGGCTCTCAACACGCCTTCCCTCACTTAACTCAAGTGTAATGAGTATATTTCTGTCCTGCAGTTGTCCTCTGGCCTGAAATAAGTTGATATAACTTGAGTGTGCCGTCATCATGTCTAGTCATTAAATGTTGGAATTTAAAAAAGATAACTCGTCTGTCTCCTGTGAGTCTAGATGTCCATCACCACTAGGAGAAGATTATTCTAAAACACAAGCGCTGTGTCATCATGTCTCGGCCAGTTCCTAGTCCCAGGAACTCAGCACATATCCGGATCTAATTTCGTATCAGTCCCTTCTTTTCTTCCGAAGACAAGCCGAGACAGTCGCAGTCACCCGTACCCATCCTCCCCCCTCTCCCCCCAGCCTTTGTCCCAATGTTTGTTGTCGTTCGGCTTGATAGAGATCAATCTAGATCGTGTCGGCTCCCAGGCTCTTTGTTGTAGGCAATATCAGATGAAAATAGTTGGGGTATCAAGTCGGTAAAACTGATATCACCGTCCCTGTGGCTATTGTATAGCGGGCTGGTTTTGGGACACAAAATTACCGGTATAAGTGTATCAGGACACCTGTACAGACAGGTAACTCAGCTGTTTGCAATGTGTTCCATGTTGTACCTACTCGCACCTTTTAACCTGAGGTCAAGAACCATTAAAATCAAGTCTTAACCGCAAAGAACAGGCATCGTTAAGTTTTTCAACCTGTAACTTTGAAGTTTGGAAGAGACAAATGGTACTTAATGATAAATTCCAATCGTTGTTTAGCGACGTCTTTCCTGACCTAGTTTCCCATTGATGGGGAGGGGATATCGAGTCCTGGATGAAACCCAAGCACAAACAATGTGGCCGCGGTCATCAATGTACCGACGCGACCGGACAGACAACCGCCGATGTCTCTGTTCTCTAACCGCTGAGGAAGTGTTGAAACATGCGGTCCATAGTATACTAGTACTATAGCTGGGAGGAACAGGAACGATAGCCTCTACCAGGCTTGCTGGAAAGAGTAGAAATCGGCCAAATAGAGAGATAAGCATGCCAAGGGAGTTTGTCCGTTGAGAGAACAGTTCAGCCGCCTCCACAAGCCTGGTAGAGGCTAACTGGAACGTAACGCTAGGGTCTTAGCGCACTGTATTGCATGGACTGTAATGATGATTAGAAGAATTCGAGGAAAACTGTGAACGTTGCATTACTGTCAACCTAAACACAATTACTGTGTGCTGAAACGTGCGGTTGAAACATACTATATTATATATAGGTATAGGAATAACAGGAACGTATCGCAAGGGACTTAGCGCACTGTATTGCATGGACTGCAAATAATGATTAGAAAAATTCGTGGAAAACTGTGAACGTTAGATTTTGTTAACGTAAATACAATCACTGAGTTAATTTTTAGCTAGATCATGTATGCTATGTATGTGTCTGGAAATGCTATGCTTCATCACTTCGAGTGGTAACGTAAAACTGGTGGCCTAACATACTATTGTATGAGAAAGCTTCGATCGCGAGCGTTAGCCTTAAGTGCAAAATCTTTGCAAAAGAACCCATCACATGTATCGGCAAACTTTGGGGTGACCCTGTGTTTGGCTGAAAAATATGTAGTGAATCCGCATTGCACTATCGTAAAAAGCGATGTGCATACTGTAATTCACTTTATGTTCACGGTAGCAAAAGTTCACGGTCTGAGAAAAATGAACATGTTCACGGAACTATATGTTCACGGTGGCGACAGGTGCAGGAAAAAAGAAAGTCCAGGAATCATTTGTTAGCTGTAATGATAAGTTCACGGTACAAAAGTGACAGTGAAAACATTGAACATAACAGTACAGGTGAAAAAATCAGGTCTGAGCGTCTTGACATTCAAAGGCTTTGGGTCTGTTGCAAGAATAAACAGTGGACTGTCATTTTGTTTTAGCCTGAACCATTTTGCCTTTTCATATTTTGTATCTTTTATATTTTACAGTTAATCAGAATTCTTTACCGGCGCCGGTTTTCTACAACGAGCTGAGCATCGGCCACACGGCAGAGGTGCAGCCTGCTTAACATAACGGAAACTGTACAAGCAAGACGATTTGGACGAGAAGAAACATTCCCAGTATTCACTGCGAAGCATTCGTTGCCTTGACGACGTCCAGGAACCACGCCCTAGAAAAGTCTATTTGACGTAATTATGCTAAAGAGGACTATTTACTATGCAGTTATGACAACAAAGGCAAAATTGCCCCTTTGTTTATATTTAACTTTATGCAGAATTTATTTATGACGTTTCGAAGCAAATATAAGGTTTCGACTCTGTTGTATGGACAATAAGTCAGAACTTGCATTGTATAACTTAATGAAATGTAGCAAGGTAGACAAAAGACAGTATTTCCGTCCATGATTTTAGTTGTTTTGCTTTTAGTTCTGTTCACAGTTTCGTTTTGTTTCTGAAAATAATGCAAAATTAGTGTTTTCGTTCGTCACGTAAAAGAGCTATAAAAAAAAAGATGTATGAATGAAAACAACAACAAAGAATTGACTTACAAACTTATCTCTTGTTATAAAATATCATCATTCCGTATTAGTTTATTCGTTTCATTCATTTAGATCTTAGCCTCTACCAGGCACCGGAAAGTGGTCGGAAGAGTAGAAATTGGCCAAATAGACATAGTATGTCCATGGAGGTAGCTTTTTTCTACATCTATGGTACTATAATGTCAGGGGAGTTGGTCCGCTCTCAGAGAACTGTTCGTTGCTGTTAGCGCAGGCCAACTCCACTGGCATATCATCTGTCTACTTGGTCATTATTTCTACTCTTCCAGCCGCGTCTCGATGCCTGGTAGAGGCTAGGAATATCTGACTAGCGCTAGATTCTATAACATGTACAGACGAACCAAGATGGCGGCCTGTGAGGGTGTCATCACCATTTGTTTGTCAATATTGACATAAGGGTATCATCTGTGGGGCGACATGAAACCGAACCGTGTACCGGATTTACGCAGACAATGGGAACAAACTGATAAGAAAAAGCAACGTCGACCCAAAACTGTGGCCAAGCGAGAAACAAATATGAATTTTGTCTGCAGAATTCTGTGACATTATAGTTGATTTTTGTTGACCAATGGCCTGCATATTAAAGTTATTAAACACATTTGAGACGGTTCATATGACTTCCTAGTTATTTGTGTCCATTTCCTTTTTCCTATTATGGATTATCCTGAAATATGCAGTATTAAGTTTAATTGTAGATAGATCTTTTATCATCTCGTTTTCGCATAATGCTAAGAATAACAGAGTTGAGATAGAGATTTGTTACATTGATCTCTGCAGTACATATATGAACTGCTAGGTGGCGATACCGCATCGCCCTTCCATCTCAATCCGTAGTATCTATACTGGATATCAATGCTAAGAATTAGAAATACACGCCTGAAACATTATCGCCCTTTCAAGTGTGGATCAATTCTGACAAAAAAGTACGTCAGCCTAAGCATATCAATATAGACTGTGTTATCTCTTCCGTGTCAAGTCGGTCGTTAAAATCGATCAGCAAAGAGGTCAATGATTTTTGCACAAAGCGGAATTGTCAACAGTGCTTGAATCAACGACGTTATAAATATACCTCCCCGCGCTTTAGCAGTGTGTATATGTTTACATTTTAGAAGTATATATACAAACACTGCGGCGAAGTCAAGCCAGGAGAGAGGGAGAGAGAGAGAGAGCAGAGAGAGAGAGCAGAGAGAGACGGATATGTTTACATTATAGAAGTATATATACAACCTCTGCAGAGAAGTCAAGCCAGGAGAGAGGGAGGGAGAGAGAGAGGGAGAGAGAGCAGAGAGAGAGAGAACAGAGAGAGAGAGAACAGGGAGAGACGGATATGTTCACATTATAGAAGTATATATACAACCTCTGCAGCGAAGTCAAGCCAGGAGAGAGAGGGAGAGAGAGAGAGAGCCGGAGAGAGAGAGCAGAGACTGTGAGACTGAGAGACAGAGAAAGATAAAACTTCTGCACGACCCCCCTCCCCCCACAAACACACATTATTGTCACATATACGAATTGTCATCATTTACAAGAACTAAATGGGCAGATGTTCCGTAAATCTGTAAGGTCGCTGAGACAATTTAGAAAAATATTAAGGGAAAGAAACACAAAACAATGCCAGTCAAAACAGGTTGCACCATGTTGTAAACCCACACCCATACCCGTGACGTACGTGCACATATTTAGCAACAATATTAGGATCATCTTCTTGGCCGTGGCTACGTGTCAAAGGTCACGAACTCGCCGGGAAAGGTCACAGGGATATGCCCGCCATGGCTGTAGCTTTCCCGGGCTCCTTCCATACATCCAACCCGTCCAGCCTTCTCAGCAATTTGCAACGATCCAGAACATAGATTGCAGCTTTTGCAAGGTGAGTAGCGTTTTCATAATTCATTTTTATGGTCCAGAAGCATGATTTTCTGTCAAGAATATAAATTTATTTCTGAAACCTCTCATCCCTATTATTGGTTGTATATAGGTCAAGTGCTGCGTCCTTGTGAGAGAGATGTCACGTCAAATAGTAAACACTCACTCAGCTGCTCAACATATTGTTACAGCTTGGGGTTGATCTTACGAATATTCTGATATGTTTATGACAGCCTTTTGGGATTCATATTGCAGAAATCTGGACTCAGAATCACCAAATACACCTGTTTTATTTTTTGGAGTGTGTGTGGAATTTTCCGACTTCTTGCTTGCCGATGGAAATTATTGGAAACACCGTGGAAAAAAATGAATTGAAATTGGAAATTGGAACACATTTCCTTTAATTTCCATACAGTAAATCAACAAAACGTAAATTGACGCTGCGTATGTAGAAGGGTTTATGACTATTTGATCATGGAAAAGATAAAGGCATAGAAAGATATATTTCATACATCAACATCCACCCCTTTGGTTAATAATGGTTTCTCCCCTGCAGCATGATGTATCTGTATGAAATCAGGTCAGTGTCTGGGTCAGGGGTCAATCGATATCGGCAAAATTACCAATAACCAAGTACGATTTTATTGAAACCGTCATATTCACGTTAACCATAGAAATATAATATATAACTGTTACATGAATTTTTCCCCGTTATGTTTAATTTTGTAACATCCCTCAGAGGTTAGGCAGTCATAAACAAACCATGTGGGTGCGTGACCGGGGTACATAATTAAGATCGCCCCTAAAAATCCGTCTCGTCGTCTATCACAAAACCTCCCAGATATCCGGTTTTAAAAACCTATATCCGAACAAATGCCAGGTTCCTTTCATAACAATATGTTGCGGTAACCATAAATCGCACTAATACGGTACAGAATGAATGCGTTTGGTATTTTTCGCCCCATGCAGACCGTACAATAGCGAATGCCGGATGCATTTTGAAGCCTTTGGTGAACTTGCACTTGGTCGAGATGGGGCGATCAGGGTAAGGGACAGTTCATTTAAGGCGCTGGCGGGGGTATGGAGTCTGTGTGCATTCTATTAGGGGCTAAATCGTTAATGTAGCTTCTGGATGCAATTGTGGAAACTAGTCATACCAGGGATTTCAAATTAATGACGCTTTTGATGTTAAGAGAAGGCTTGCAAGGATTACAGAATAAAGAAAATTGATAATATCTATTCATATAAGCTTTATTCTTTTTCTACATGGTAAATATCATTGAAATATTGCTACCCCCTGATATTGTCAAATTCCGGGTCCAAGTACAGAAGTTATTAACCTGTTTTTGTCTAATGTATACAACATTGTAAAAACGACACTGTACGATAATCTATATGTTTTGACGCAAATTAGCTGAATATAAATCAAGATATCATCGCACCATTACATACAAACACACAGCAATGCCACCCAGCGGTCCATTGATACAATTGCAGCAAGTGGCATTCGGGCCTTAATCCTAATACAATGTACAAAATGTATAAAATTTGTAACAGTTACACACAAAATTCCTGAACGCTTCTCACCGCATATACACACATTATCATCTCCCATTCACATAGCTTCTTGTCAAAATAAAATATCCCCTGACAAAAAAACTGTTGTATAAAAGTTAAAAGATATGACGGCTTGGTTACGTGACATGTAACAATCGACCAACTTTATGAAACAAATGTGATAAAACAACCTCTAGAGTCTGTTTGCGAGGCTACGATATGTCCTAACTATCAGTACATAGGCTTTTTGGCAACGGCACTGGACGGAGACTTCATGTTCAACCCAGCGGCGAAGTTGAACTTCCCTACATAGTCTCCAACCCTATCCTCCTCCTGCTCCCCACCCCAGCAGTGCACTAGCACGGTCACGGACGTGTGCTTGTCACACATAGACTCGAGCCGCAGGCTGTTCAGAGGGCGCTGTTCCGGGTTACTGGCGATGACGTTGGGACTGTCCACTTCGCAGGGGGTATTCAGGCATGCGTACTGGGTGTAGGCGCTCAGTCCCGATAGGCTCAGCACGGACGTTTCCATCTGTAAAGGAGGGGTGTTCTAATTTCTTTTTTCAACGTGAACACGCCTGGCATTTCAAGGAAAACTTTTCTTAGATACAATAAAAAAAAACTTTATAAATCTAAACCTATTTCAAAACCAGCCAAAGCCTATAATCTCTTCGCTTTCTCTTTATTTATATTCTACTGCACAAAAACAAATGAACACACATGAACAAACAAACAAACAAACAAACAGGTTGTTTACATACCTGAAGTAAATTTTCTTGCGCAGCGTTGGGGCAGAAAGGGATGGTCATCTGTGCGGACGTCAGCGAAACCAGCTCAAGCGGCGCGCGAAGGCTCACGGACTGGATAAGATGGTGAACACACTCGTCCTTCACGTAGATGGGGAAATGTCTGTTGCTGACTTTCTTCGGCTTTTCCTGTTGCAAGAAACATATGTTATTATGTTTACCAAAGGAAAACATATTGTTTTTGCTTTGTTTCCTATACTTCTTCTCTCCTAACCAATAAGGTCAATGACCTAAACCAGACGTCTGCCACCATGGTACCTAGTGCATGTTGCAATTTTATAGCAGGAGGGATTTAGACTCCTGTCACCATGTATATGAATGTGTTTGAGTAAGAAATAACAGTGGACCATATGCGAAAGTAAATATTATGTATGCATTTTCTTTGCAAATGTCACCTTTCTACATGTAGTTTTGCATGTCTTTGACAAGGATTTTTTACGACATTTCATAAAGTTGCACATCTCAATGCCTCCCTTCTCTTTCAATCCGTAGAAAAAAAACACCCACATTTGTGCTAGTAAAAAAGCAACAATTATTAATTTACAAAAGAGGAAATACCTTAACAAACTCCTTGGTGTCGTTGGGCTGGCGAAACTCAACGGTTACGGAGTACGCAATTCCGAAGACGTCTCCGGCTCGTGTGTAGACGTAGAGCTCAGAACTGCTGACGTCAGTGACGATGCACCGTGCCGTCAGGGCCTCTCCCTCCACATTGTTGCTGCATAGAACTTCGTTGGAACTATTCAAACCCTGGGGAGAAAAATTTGTAAAGAAATTGTTAAAAAGGTACAAGTGGAAAGGTCCAGCCTCTAACAGGCTGTTTGGCCAATTTCTGCTATTTCCAGTCGCCCCCTGAAACCTGCTAGAGGCTAGCTCATTCCTATGGTTTATTTTGTTGATTTTCATGTCTTCTTTTTGCTGTTGTCAAAAGTTACATATCTATTGATGTATATACAAACCCATTCATTTATAGGTTTGTGGATTTCCGTGTACTAGGTAGCATCCCAAGATTTTCTCCCAATGCAACGCAACTAATTTTTTTTCTTTCTTTCAGACTTACTACAAGAAAGTGCTAGGCTAGGGGCTGGATGTAGGTCATGCTGTAATGTAGGTTGTAGGCTGTTGTTACCTTTTCGGGGCTGTCGGTGACGTAGAAGTACACCACTCCGTCTTCTATTTTCCAGGCTGGGTTGTTCAGCAGCACCAACGTCACTTCCGCTTCCTGCCCCTAAAACGGAGGGGGGGGGCAAAAATGTTAGTAGGCCTAGCTTTATAACAACAATTATATATATATAGCAGTGTATTGTATACTATATTTATATACTATATATGTTTATTAACAGTTATAAAACACAGTACAGTTAGGACAGCTAAGTACAGAAAGACCCTTTAAATAAGGAAAGTTCAAAAAAGGGCCGAAGATGCTTCCCTGAGGAACACACGGTTGACGTACCATGAAGTGATTGCAGGTGCTGGCGATGAAGAGGTCGGTCTGTCCGGGCATGGCCAGGGTGGTGTCCGGGGCGGTGTAGGTGAACCTCATCTCCTCGTTCTCAATCACGCGCAGAGGGCGTTTGGACAGGGGTTTGGGAATAACAGCTGAAACGTAATTATACCAATCAATCCACTTGCATGTATCTTCAAGCCAGAAACACCTTTACTCTAGCCTCCGTAGCAGGCTTATAGAACTGGGGGTTTGGTGGTCTTCGGCTGTTTTCTGATTAGGTCAGTTCAAAAAACGGGGGTAATTCAACCAGGCCGGCAATGCTGTCCATATGCAGTCAGAAAATAGCACGTAAAAGCTCCCCAAGACCATGAAGACCCCCCCCCCAGTTTTTGGTATTCTATGGATGCTACCTTTACTCTACGTTCCATAGTTGCACCATAACACAGGTAAATTAAACAAAGGCCCAAACAAACAAGCAAACAAACAAGAATCACCGAAATATAGAGTATGTGGCGAAGATTGCATTTTCAGACAGATTATTTAGGTAGGTTGCAAGCTGCCATATTGTTGGTCAGCTCTTTTAGGCTATCAAAATCCACCGGTTTTGTCGTCAAAACTGTATTTTTTTTGCAGAGCTACTGTACGTACATTTCATATAGTACATTAAGAACCTGGCACCGTTTAGAGAAAGGAATGGAAATTTTGACGGAGTAGGCTTTTGTGGGCACATTTAGCGTTCTGTATCAATTAATCAACCTCTCTATTTGCCTAATAGACCCAATTTGAGCTGGAAATATAGGGATAATTAGAGGTTGTCATGAGTTCTTAAATGGTTTATTGAGTTTTTACCCTTGGGCTTCTTAACCCCGTTTCAAGATACCTGCGCCCATTGTCCCTTGTTGACAGGTAAATAATCTTCCTGCATTGTTTATGTCTTGTGACTCTCACGTGAGGAGTGTCTCTGGTATGTCTGACAATTATCCGTGTCTTGTGATCACCACGTGCTTTTTGAAGTAGAACAGGAATTTTTTAGCCGGTCCACGCCCCCTATTGCCGGGCCCATAAGGCCACACCAAGTAAATTTTATGGATGACGTCCTCGCGCGCATTTATTTTGGCCTGGTCCTAGAAAAAAAAACAAGAAATTCCTCGTCCTGTAACTATGACCAAAGAGTCACGACAGTGCCGCGAATTGTAAGATTGACGTGAAACCCGTAATGCGAAATGGGACGTGAAACCCGTAATGCGAAATGGGTAAAGAGCACATGCTTTGTCTCTGCAGGCCTGCAAAAATGTGATGAAAGAAACAGGACAGGACGACAACTGCTGTTCCACCTGATTTATTGCTGTTTTGATGATGAATAAAAGACTTCTTGCTTGTTAATCCATGTCACCTCATTCAATTTGTGTCCTAACATTTGTCGTCTCTTAGTATATTTCTAATCTAGGCATCTTATTTTTTAGGGCCCTTCTTGTTTTTTTTTCGCCTTCTCGCATTAGATATAGGGTCTCCAAAGGACGTCATCCATAAAATTTACTTGGTGTGGCCTAATGTTGCTGGAGCTAAGGCTTTTTCTAACTTTTTTTCTTACACCTACCTTGCAGTTACTATATTGTGTTTAATTGAATTTTGAATTCGTTTGAGAAGTCGTACACACTATAATTCGTTTGATAAGTTGTATGTATCAAAATTTATCAGATCAGAGAAACGTACCATACTTTTGGCTATGTATGGACATGGTAGATACGATATAAGATATAACAGATTTCCCACAATTGGCCTTATTTTTTTTTACAAAAGTAAAGAAAAATACTACAACCCTAAAGCCCCCCATGTCAAAATGCTTCCATCAGACTGATACCTTCCCATAAAAAAGTAAGTTTAAAAAAAATTACTTTTTCAAAAAAGATACTACTAGTGCTAGTGATTTGAAACATGCTCTTACCTGCATTACAATAGCAGATAGCTGCGGCGATCGCAAGTAGCGCTGCAACGTGTCGGGCCATGGTTGTATGATTGTCTTAGAGTTGTCGGGATATCCGTTGAATGCTGGATAGAAATAAGAAGATGAACAGTTATTAACGAGTTTTTCATTGCTATGTAATCACACACAATTGACTTTCCATTAAGAACAGCTGAATACTCTTTCTGCATGGCAGCATGAAAACACACGATCTTTGAGTGTTTGCTAATTTTCCGTCCAAGGGGTATTGTTTTCGGTGGATACGTACAAAAAAGATAAGAAATATCACGCAGTAATATAACATACATTTTAGTACAGAAACTTCACATTCTTCATTTTCTGTTACAATTGTGATCAGCAGTTTTTTATTTTATATTCCAATATTTCATGACTAGACATGATGACAGCACACTCGAGTTATATCAACTTATTTTATGCCGCCACCAACACAGAGGACGAATACAGGACAAGACAATACTCAGGAAAGTCGTGTAAAGTGCCTTTCCCAAGGGCACAAGATCGGTGGCATGTCAGGACTCGAACCCGGGATCTCTTGGTTCCGAGTCGAGCACGCTGCCGCTACGCCACACGACCCCACGATCAGCAGATTGTAGTTTAAATACTGGCGATAGTACAGTAGTTCTAACCAAATAAACGCAGTTTCTTTGCTAAATTTGGTCGACGGTAACGACATAAAATGTCACATGTACACGAGTAAAATGAATACTTACCAGAAGACAAGCTTTGTCAGTCCTGTATGCCGGAGTCCGTGTGCTACAGTGGACGGCCGTACGCGGGGCGTCCTTATATAGCGAGAAAAAGTTGTCCGACTTGTCTGGGAAAGTCATATGACAGTCCCGTGCTGTCACGCTTCTGTGGTCCACATTTACACCACACAAATTCCATTGTATTAAACCTACCACCCGAGTAGTCTCCAAAAGACTGTATTAAACCTACCACCCGAGTAGTCTCCAAAAGACTGTATTAAACCTACCGCCCGAGTAGTCTCCAAAAGACCTCTAGGGTTACTCAACTCACGGGGAAGAAAGTAGAAGTTGACTGAATAATTTGAATATCTATATAACTATTATAAGTGTGAGTCAGTCATTCAGTTACACATATTCAATTTCCATACTTTTTGTCGGTCGATTTCTACATTTTTTCCAGGTACCCAAAGTTGTATGGCTTGGAAGAGAGTCTACGAGAAATGGCGCTCATTTTATTCGATATTTCTTGTGACCATTGTCCACAAAATCAGACTTGTGCCTCTTTTTTCGAAAATAAAATGGTGTCTAGGTTGTCTTAGAAAAGTCACATGGAAGTCTCGTGATGCCCCCTGCTATGTCATGCTTCTGTGGTTTTTGAGAGTCTCTGTAACTTCGACAATGGCGTAAAAAAGAGAACATGATATCCTTGCTTTGTTCACTCTCATTTAGTTGCAATAATCTGATCCTTAGTGGCCTCGACGGGACTACAAAGATCATTACTTGTATTGAAGAAGGTGAGGTGTTAATTGAAATGATGATGTTATCTGGTAGTTGCTTGCGTTGTCTACAATACAAGTCCCACAAACTCAGTATCATGACTTGTTGATCCATGTACATACGACGCCGTATATTCAGTCGTTGGAACAATGCTCTTTTTGTTGTTGATAATATATGCAAGTCGTGTTTCCCCAGCCAAGACTAGAAGTTCAAAAGTCAAATACTCTCCATTTTTAGACCGCCCCAAGTCATTGAATCCACACGTTTTAAAAGTCTGTATTTGACAAGGAATTCAAGTGACTATAAAATTATGTCAAAGAAAACAACAAAAAAGGTACTAAAATTCCTAGCACATTATCGAATACACTGTGTCATATATAATTAAACAATTAACAACATAGAATATCTTTGAGATACTAAATCGTTGAATACACAATCTTAATCTTTCTTCCTTTCTTTGCGTTCTGCAGCGTTCATGACTGAAATGATGACAGAAATGGAGGACGACGCAGAGCGTCCCGAGAACGAGATCACGTCGTCATCACGTGATAACTTCGTGATTAACGAGTGTCCGTACTGCGACTTCAACTCTCAGTACAAGAAGAACCTCACGCGTCATCTGAAGAGGGTTCACCCGCGGGAGAAGTTTTACAAGTGCAGCCACTGTCAGTTTACCACCCCGTTCGAATGTGAGATGAACATACACCGCTCAAAACACAAAGGTTAGAGAAAGTGCCAGCTTTTTACTGAATTTGCTGAAAAAAGTTGTCATTTTCAATTCATCTGACTAAAATCACGAACATTTTTTGTTGTTTTAAAGCTACGACATTTGTAAATTGTTTCTGGATTTTGTTAATAAATTGAGGAGTTGACTTAGGGTTAGAATTGACTTAGAATTGACTGAGGTATTAGGTACATGTATTGTGTTACACGGAGCAATTTCGGTGCACATATTCATTGTTTATTTGTAATCAAACCTAGCTTATTACGTTCATGAAAGAAATTTCGTAAGCAATGAAAAATGGTCATAAATGTATAAATGCTCATTCATCTAAATTGATGAATAAAATCTCAGCCCTGCAACTGTTTGCATTTAGAAATTTCTTATGGAAAATTTTGTTTCTTGTTTTGTCCACAGTTTGGGCCATCAAAATCTACCGATGTCGTCACTGCGAGTTTGCCGCCACACGCCGTAAGGCTTTAAGAGTCCACCTGGCGAAACACACCAAACCCTACATGTGTGGGGAGTGTGGATATAGAGCAGCTTACAAGTAGGTATAACAGGGGATTGAACTAGTAGGAGTTTTGATTCTACCGCCGTCTTTTCTGACTCGTTTTTCAGAGTTTTGTTGAGTTAGTTGGTTTTGTTGTTTGCTGATGCATGTTTGATGTGTGAATTATGAAATTTGATTGTACTCAGTTATATAGATTATACTAGTTTTTCTAGCTGATTATCCAGCTCTTTGGATATTCGTATTGTTAGAAGGTTATTTGTCTAAATTCACAGATCAAACATGGCGTCACACATGAAAATTCACATCGGGGAAAAGCCTTACAGATGTCCGCGCTGTTGCTACGCGACCGCGGAGGCGGGCAAACTCTCGCGTCACATGCGACTCAAACTGCACCGCCCCGAAGACTCGCAAGAGGGCGTCTACAAATGTCCGTGTTGCGACTTCAAGTCTTCCACTCCGTCGGTGATGATCGTGCATTTCGCCACGCCGAACGCGGAACACTTTTTGTGCTCGATTTGTTCGCACGTCATGACACAAAAGGACGACTACGAAGCGCACATGCACAGCCACATAGGCAACCAGTATTTCCGTTACCAAAACGGAAAATGTTCCACCGTTTGGAAGCGTCGACGTATGTACCGAACGCCAACAAAAGAGCTCCAGAAACCTGCCAAACCCCATAGTAGCCCTCAAACTTATTCCGACTTCTACTGGTCAAACAAACTGTTGAACTGTTGTTTGGATAGCTTTCGTCGCCCGACGTACTGGCTTTGCTATAAGGACCAACATGGGGATTTCTTGACAACATCAGAGAGACAGAACCGCGTACCCTTTTCGGAACCACCAATGCATTCCGAACACTTGGGCGACAAGATCTCAGAAAACTCATTTAAGGATGAGCCTGTTTGGAATGGTCTCAGTGGCAAAGAAGACAACAACAATGAGTGCTACCCGGTACTCTGTACACTTTTGACAACGGAAGTCAAGTAGACACACTGAATACCAACGTGCAACTCGGAATGACAGTCAACTTTTCCAATTCACGATGTTCCGTTTTAAACGTTATAGTATTCGCCAAGCAGATGCACCACCTTTCTGGGTTTTTGGTAGCATTTCTGAAGGTATTTAATAATTGAATCTTGATCAAGAAAACGCACCAATCGAAAGACGTACAGTGCTACAAGCACAGTATGTCTTGGTTCTACGGCGTCGAGACTATAGTATATTCAAAGCAGACGCCAAATTGGTACTGAACCCATAGTACTGAACTTTAAAAATATTGTTGCTATAGTTGTTGTTACCTTTTTTTTACTACAACTCAAAACCTATATATCAAGAAGAAGAAGGTTTACTGTTGTACTTACAAAAGAATTTGTAACCATGTGTGTATTATAGAGTCAATTCCGCGTCACCGAGAGGGTTGTTACTGTCATTATTTAGAAATGTTTTGAATTCTTTGTAATTGTTTGTCTAAGAAATTTCATAATTTGGAAATATTTTGAACATCTTGTCAATATTCTAAATAATTCCCTGGTTTTCTAAAACGTTTGAAATATTCCTGATGTGGATTATGACATTTCCAATAGTTTCTAAATATTTCTAACAGCACTCTACCATTTTTTACCATTATTTCGAATTATTTCTAACATTTTGTAAATAGGTCAGTGGGATGGGAAGGAAGTAATTCACACATCCCTGTGAAGTACAGGGTAGACTGCCTGGGTGTCAGGCATTGATGCCTTACAACAAAAGAGCCACCAGTGTCCAGCAGTGAAATCTAAAAATATACAGAGGAAGACAGAAGAGTAGGATTAGCACCTACTTTTATGGGGGCAATTACCCACATCTACCATTTGGTTATTTGTTTGAAATAGTTCTAAATATTTCGAATTGTGAAAGAAACACATGGGTAGTTCAAATTTATTCTAAAGAAAGAGATCTTTGTACAGTCACATTCAAAATGTTTCAGAAATATATAAATGAATTCAAATATATTCAAATTTTCATTTTCAAATTTTTGAAAAATTTAGAACTTTTGTTACTGGGGTATTCTTTTCTTCTAAATAATTCAAACGTATTAGAAACATGGAGAAAAAACCCACTCGGTGACGCGGAATGGACTCTAGTGTCGTGATGATTAGATAAAACTTGTTGCATTTGGAGAATTCAATATAACCATTAAGACTTTACGGTCTTCAACTGTGAATTGCAATAAAGAACAAGAGTGATACCCACTCCATTCATAACCTTGGACCCCATATGTACGCTTATTAGATGTATATTGGTATTATGGTTGCTATAGATATATATAATTAAAAGTTTATTGTAATATATTTTCATGTATGACATAAAATATATATCGTTATATTATTTGCATTTCAATGTCAAGTGGCGGTACAATAACATCTTAAAGATGTTATTAAAGGTACCTTAAAAGCTCCAGAAACAATGAAACAAATATATCTCATCCTGTCCTGTAAATTCTTGAGATAGGGAATAATAAAAAATGCCCCAACGCACTTTCCTGCGTCTGTTTTCTTCATAAAACATCCATACTTGTTTTCATCCAGGACCACGTGAAAAACACGTGAACAGTGCGTGAAAGGGGGTTACATCAGGTGTTTTCCAAATACAAATATTTTTGCCATCCTTGCAGCCTTATATAATTCCAAACTGTATGTTTCCATTGCATTAGTCCAGCCATGTCAGCACACATGCAGTTAAAATATTGATATGGTCGACTATTTAAATGTCACATGCCTTTAAATACTTTTATTCAAAGCACCCTAATGAAGTTTTGTTCTACTGTGTCGTCCGTCCAAATTTGAGCTGTCAGAGATAGGACAAAGAGATTTGGACATATCCGACATACTGAGTGATGAATCGTATCACCCAAGCCATTTAACGGACAAACGTTGGTTTAAGTAAATTTTAAGAAAGAAGAGGTCAACGAGTAGGCACACATGTTTTGATAGTGTCGGTATATTCTTTCAAACACCTTTGAAGATGTTCGATGTAAAATGGCTGACTCACTCTACTACAAAAGGTCAAAATAATTGGCGATCTTAAAGTTTTTTCCAATTTATTTCGTGGATCTAAACATTACTATAATGGTACGTACTTAGTAATTTGTTTCCATATGGGTAATTAACTGAGTATTTTTTTTAAATAGAAGGATCAATCGTTTGAAGTAGAAAAGCATTCCTGTATTGTCATTTTTCCTTAAGTAAACCATGTATTTTAATTTCTTGATACTAGAAGTACTTTCAGGCAGAACGGCGACATCTTAAACGGTAGCTCTTGGCTCTCTTAACTTTTTCAAGTGTTTACACCTGGTTCAGAAGTTGAACACTCTTCTAGTACTTAAGAATCCAGAACCGTCTCCTCAAATACCCCAAAAGGTAAACATTACCTTTTTCAGTCTTGAGAGAGAATGGTTGGATTGTGGTGTAGCATTTTCATATGTGTGTGTGTGTGTTCGGTGACGGTGGGGGAGGGGGGGGGGTGGTATAATTGTGTTTTTACTAGTTGCCCTAAATGGTTTCCTAGTTTTACTTTTTTTATTTCTAAAGTACTCCCTACTCTCTAAACTAAAAACATTTCAAGCAAATACTTCACTTAGCTCATATCTAGCTAACTGACTTAATGATCACACCAGAAAACATAACAGACACAAGTAAGTGGAATGAGCATCATGGATTGTATTCGGTCATCAATAAACTACACTTGTGTAGTAATAATGTATTACATAACAACGACCAAAGTCTTTGATATTTTTCCTACAAATTGTAAGTTCTAACTCTGATATCGCAGTGCTTGTTGCTGAAAACAACTCTGTGTACTTTTGCATTGTAGGTTCTTCAGTTTTAAGTGCTCACGCCTTTTTAAGTTTAGAGAAAAGAACAACATTTTGACATCAAACAAAAAGGAAGGTGTAGTATTTCCATCAAGGAACACCGCCATATATTACGTGTTGATTAAGGAACAATCATGTTGTTTGTACTGAACACAATATTGCCACCACTTACATTTCATCATTGCTTGTACATGCATACCTGTTTTGACAAACACAAAGTTCACACATTGCATTGATACAGCGTAGTCTAGTATACAATGTTTGGATTGTCTATTTTACGTCCAAAAACTTGGTTACAGGAAAATGGTTACTTAATATATGTATTTAATCAATTTGACTTATGTAAAATTAAGATTTTTAGGGAAAATTCATTGCTACAAAGGGAAAGACCTGGTAACGTGTGCGTTTTTTTTCCTTTGTGTTGTCAATTTTCTCTTAAGTTCACAAACAACAGATCGTGAAGATCTAATTGTTTTTTGGAAAAACAATATGATTTCACATATACAATGGTGATTTCCCTAGGCCCTCATTGTTGCTTCTACTGGTCTTTCCCTGACTAGCACATGAGACAATTTTTGCTTCTATACATGTCAGATTCCCAGAACTACAGTCAATATTTCCTTGTCTATTTAAAGCCTTTGAAAGCAGTCTACCATCACTTTTACATTGTGTTGATTTTGGGGGTCTCTACATAGTTGTCTACCTGAGTGATAAGGTACCTTTTAGCACGACTAGCCCCACTGGCGACCGCGGAGGAACTGCATGGGCCTCACGAGATGGTCCAAACCGTCGTACATCTGGGCGTCATCCGACAGGAGCCAGGTCAGGAAGGTGTCAGGCTGGTTGTCTTCCTGCGGCTTCATCCAGGAGAGCCAGTTGTCTTCGGCTGAGTCCTTGTCCTGTTCCATGGGCGGGGTGAAGAACCACGAGTACCACATCTCTTCCTCCGGCTCCTCTTGGCCGAACCACGACGACCACCAATTTTGGGGTTCTTCGTCTTCAATGAACCAGGACAGCCAGCTATCCTCTTTGTCGTCCTCCTTGCTTTCTTCATCCCAGAGCCAAGAGAACCAGTCATCTTCTTTGCTATCTTCCTTGCTGTCTTCAAATAGCGAAGACCACCAATCCTTGTCGTCCTCTTCTTCCGGCATGAACCAAGACATCCAGTCGTCCCCAAGGAGCCAGGAGAGCGGGTCTTCCTTGTCGTCGTCGTAGAACGTGTTTGTGTTCCACCCTTGCTGCTGCACGCCGAACATGACCTGGACAGCCTGCTGCATGACCTGGCTGGGTGTGGGCCTGCTCGTGCCGAACCATTGCTGAATCAGCCCCTGCAGGGTCGGCTGAGGACGCTGGCCACCGTTGCCGAAGAAGAACTCGTACAACATCTGCTGCGGCGATGGCTTGTCGTTGTTTCCGAACAGCTCGTTGATGATTGAAGAGGAGCCGAAAAGCTGCTGAACGAAGGATTGCATGTTTGGCCTGCTAGATTGTCCATTGATGTAGTCAAGCAGCATCTGCATGGGCGATGACTGCTGGTGAGAGTTGCCGAAGAAGTTGCCTGAGATGGCCTGAAGGACTGGGTACTGGCCTTGGTTGCTTCCGAAGAACTCGTCGGCGAGTTGCTGCAGGAGAGGACGCTGGCTGTTGCCGTTCATCCCGAAGAGGTAGTCGGCGATGTCGTCCATGACGTTCTGCTGATGGCCAGAGAAGTAGTTCAGGATCTGCTGCAGGACTGGTCGGCTCGGGCGGTTGGTCATGCTGTCGATGTAGTTGGAGATCACGTCGATCAGAGGGCGGAGTCGACATGCTGGGGCGGCTGTGAAGGTAGTCGTGCAGAACCTCGATGGGGTGCTTGTTCTGGGACTGGAAGTAGTTGTCAAGGAAACCGGAGAGCGTGTTCATGAGGGGATGAGTCGGCTGCTGGAACTGTTGGGCGATCGCCTGGAGGATGGGGTTGCTGTTCTGGCTGTTCATGAACTGTTGCGCGAGGTTAGCCAGGTAGTGAAGCTCGACGGCCAGCCTCAGGCGGAGTTGTCTCAGGAAGGCCCTTAGGTTGTACCTTCCCAGCCTCATCATGTGCGACACGTACATCACGAACTTCCTGACCAGGACCTGTGCTCGCGCCTGGAGGTGTCCGAAGATCCCCTCTTGTAGCGTCATGAGGTTGCTGAGGACCTTGGTGTTGTAGTCTGCATAGGCTGCCAGGATCAGCTCTCCGTCGCGAATGAGGGTGGTGGCGATCTTGTCTCCGGCCTCGGCGAAGTGGGCGGCGAGCGCGGTGAACTTGATCTCGGCCTCCTTGATGATCATGGGCCAGTTGTTCTGGTTGATGATGAAGAACTCGGCGACGTACTCAAGGAGCATCGTGTCCATCACCATCATGTCGTCGCTGTGAGGGCACAGAGATTCAAATCATCAATCAAAATGTCGACAAATCTACCGCATTTCAAAAGACGTGATATTTAATGGAGAGGAAACAGGGAAATTACAGTCAGGCCCTAAGAAATCAGTACAGACTAGCATATAGCATACATTTTTCTACATTACACTACTAACAGAGGAATTCAAATTTGCATAGAAAATAAGTTCTTACCCTGTAGGCATGTCATCGCCGTCTCGGTCTCCCATAGGCATTTCCCTGTCGGGGAAGACGAAGCCCAGGCTGGTGATGAACTCACGGCCCTTCATGAGGAAGAAGTCCAGGGTTGGCTCGAAGTTATCCGGCGGGTCGATACCGAAGTGCATCATGACGTCGGGGAGGTACTCCAGGCTTGGCTTGAAGTCGTCTGGAATGTCGAGGTTCAGGGGCTTGACCACGAAGGTTTCCCACTGCCACTTGAGTTCGTTGAGGAAGGAGAGTTCATAGTCCGGCGGCATCATGAAGACCTTGTTGATCACCATCATGATGTGCTTCTCCAGATCGTCAACTTTGTAGTCGTTCGGGGATGTCTACGTCGAGAATGAAGGCGATGGCGTGGACGCATCCATCGGTGAGCACCCCGTTGAGCTCGAGAGGAGGAAGGGTGGTGGTCATCCACTCCGGTGCGGTCTCTGGATTGAAGTACTGGAAGAGGGTATCGATGTTGAACCAGCCAAACACCGTCTCTGGGAGGTTGTTGATCCAGTCGTTCACCATGGCGTTCCAGTCTTGGTTGCCCATCTGACTGAACCACATGTTGAACTGGTTGCCCCATTCCGAGAACATCATGACCGCCTGGTCGAACCACACCGCGGCGTTCTGCTCCACGTAGGCCTGCACCATGGGGAGCTGAGCGATGAACCACTCAGGCTCCAGCTTGAAGTCGTCGGGAAGTTCGAAACCGAGCCAGCGTCCGATCCACTTGAGCGTGTCGGGCAGATGTTCAATGTACACCATGTTCAGGTCGTAGAGCAAGCTGAACTGGTCCTCCAAGAGCTCTTGAACCCAGTAGTCTTCTGGTGCCAGGGTAGCAGCGATTGGTTGCACGGACATGGCGATGAATTCGTCCTTGGTGGGTATGAGGTTGAAGAGCTCCTTGATGCCCCACTCGGCGAAGTAGATCAGTTCCGGTCTGTAGTCGTCTGGTAGGTAGAAGCCGAAGTAGTCGCTGGCTCCGGGCAAGTTTTCAAGGACCTTTTGAATGACCTGCTGGATGAAAGCGCCGACGTCTCCACCGGAGTTGACGAGGATGTTCTGCTGGATTTGCATGAAGATTTGCTGGGTTGAGTTGAAGACCACCGCGACGATCTGTGGCGCCTGGTTGGCGATGGTCTGGATGATCTTGTCGATGTTGGCAGCGACGTACTCCTCTGTAGGTTGGAAGTCGTCGGGGAGGCTGATGCCGAAGGGAGAGACTATGGTTGGGCCGTTGTTGGCGAACCACTCCGGGGTTTGCTCGAAGGATGCGAACGCCATCACGATGTCGAAGTAGTTGTCAGGTACCTGTACGCCCAGGTTGCCGAGGAAGACAGGGAGCGCCTGAATGATGTAGGATGGATCTAAGGAGAAGTCATCGGGCATGTCGACACCGAAGAGAAGCTCCAGCAACTCTCCGACGGCTTGAGCCGGGAATTCCTGAGTCATGGCTTCCATCCACTGCTGGATAGCCGACGTCAGGATGTACATGTCTGGGAGCTGGCTTTGGATGTACTGGATGATTTCAGTGGGGGTGCCTGTGAGAACGTTAGCTGGGATGTCGATGCCGAGAAGCTGGGCGATTTCAGGAACCTTGCTGAGGAACATCTGAGTTTGCTCTGGTGACGCGTTGTTGAAATAGGTGGTCAGGTTGGCCCAAGCCGCCATGCCGAATTGCTGGAATTGAGTGTTGACGTTGTTGGCGAAATCGGGGAAGAAGTTGGTGACCAGTTCTATCAGCGCGGGCAAATTGTCAATGATGCTCTGCACGGTCCCGTCCAATTGGGCGCCCGGGGGGAATGCATCGGCAAGAGCTTCCACTTCTGTGAGAAGCCCGTATGCCAGCTCGTCCGTGGACACGTTGACCAGAGCCGCCACTTCCCTGAACTGGTCGATGTACAGGGGGAGATCTTCCGGCTTGAGGGCGAGGTTTTGGAACCACTCAAGCAGCTGCATCTGCAGCTCGGGCGCCGGGACTGGGATGCCGAGTCCCGTCAGGATCTGTGTGACCTCAACGGAGATGTTCTTCAGGTACGCGACGTTCACGTATTGGAGGACGGCCTGGTACGACCTGGATGTATTACTGGTGCCGTGTAGTACTCCCGCCTCAATTGGTCGATCAGCGTGCCCGACATGTCCCTCACCGGGATGTTAAGTTGCTCAGCCACTTGGAAAAGCTCTCGAGTGAGCGTGTCGAGGTCTGCCCCTGGCTTGGCCAGCGCGACGGTCCAATTTTTGATGCCTTGTTCCAACTCGGGTGTGACCGTGACGCCTCTGTCTGTGATGAACTGTACTATCGAGCTGATGACCTCAGCGACCGCCATGTCATCCACTCTCTGAAGGATCTGGTTTGATTCGAAGAGGTCGATGTACACCTGCTCACCTAGACGGAGCTGTGCTCGCAGCTCTTCGAGGAGACTTGTAGACAACTCCACCTCATCCACGCCCACCATAGCGGCGACCTCGTAGAATTGACGAACGTAGGCGGCGATGTCGTACCCGTTACGGATGTCGGTCAGCCACTGGGTGATCTGTGCAACTGTTTCCTCGGTGTAGGGGAAGCCGAGTTCGGCGAGCTTCGCGGTTACAAACATGCCGAGTTCGGGAAGAAGACCCTCACCGCCCGGTATCGACAGCAGGGTTTGAACTTCCATCAGGTTTTCTACCACGGTGTTGACTTTGTCGAAGTGCTCCGTGATGAGCTGTTTCAGGGCCGCGGCGAGGTCTACTGCCGACGTGTTCAGCATGGAGGCTACCTGGTAAAACTGCTCAACTTGTGGTCCGATGTCGTACTGTGCGTTGTACAGACCTGCGGTCCACCCGTAAATCATGGCGACGGATTCGTTGTTGTATTCGAGCCCGTACGGCATAAGGCTTGCTGTGATGAGGAGGCTCAGGTCTTCGATATACTTGAACTCCACGGTGTTCAGCAGCCTTTTAACTTCGATTAAGTCCGTGACGACTTGGTTGACTTCAGCGAAGTGGTCGGTCAAGAGCTGCCGCAGGCCTCCGGAGAGATCACTCACCGACACGTTGAGCATGTAGGCCACTTGGTAGAACTGTTCGACTTGCGGTCCGATGTCGTCTTGTGCGTTGTAGAGATCGGTGGTCCACTGGTTAATCATTGCCACGGACTCGTCGTTGTATTCCAGTCCGTAGGGTACGAGGTTTGCGGTGATCAACTGACTGAGGCCGAAGATGTAGCGGGGCTCGACCGTGTTGAGAAGACGCTTGACTTCTATCAGATCCATCACGACCTGGTTGACTTGAGCGAAATGGTCGGTCAGGAGCTGGCGGAGACCCGCTGCGAGGTCGACCGCCGACACGTTCAGCATGTACGCTACTTCGTAGAACTGCTCCACGTAGGGTTGGATGTCGTCGGACATGTAGAGACCGGCGGTCCAGTTGTAGATCATCGCGATGGACTCATTGTTGTACTCGAGACCGTAAGGGATGAGGTTCGCTGTGATGAGCATACTCAAGTCTTCGATGTATTTGAAGTCGCTGGTCTTCAGCAGTCGCTTGACTTCGATCAGGTCTGTGACGACGCTCATGCCACCCTGCAGTTGTTCGCTCAGCGCGTTCTTCAGCCCCAAAGCCAAGTCAGCCGCCGACACGTTCACCAGGTTTGCTACATCGTAGAACTGTTGGACGAACGGAGTGATGTCGCCGTCGTTGTACAGGCCGACGGTCCAGGTGTAGATGACTTCCATGGTGTCGTTTTGGAAGGGGAAGCCGAGAGGCACCAGTTGGCCCACGATGAACTCGCTCAGACCTCTGACGTAACTGAGCTCAACGATTCTCAGCAGGTTGCGAACTTCAATCAGGTGCGCGGTGACTGCCGCGGAGCCCTGCATCTGGGCGGTCAGATGATCCCAGACGATCTGTGCAAGTTCCGGCGCCGTCTTGTTCACAGCGGCGGCCACCTCGTAGAACTGGTTGATGTAGACGCCGATGTCGCCGTCAGTGTTCTGGTACAGACCCATTGTCCACATGTAGATCGTCTCGCTGTTTTCTGGCGTAATCGGGAAACCTAGGGTGCCCAGTTCCTGGGCGATGAGGATGCTGAACTGCCGGACGTAACTGCTGTTGAAGTTGTTCAGGACGTCCTTGACTTGCATCAGGTAGATGTACACCTGTTCGCCCTCGTCTAACACCGCCGTCATTTGGTCAAACAGGAACTGTGCCAGGTTTCCCACCGTCTGGTTCACTGTCGCAGCCACGTAGTAGAAGTCGAAGGCGACGGCGTCGGTGTTGTTCCCTGCGGCGGCGAGCGCGACCGTCCAGTTGTAGATGCCCTCGAGGGAGGAGTTGTCCGTGGGGTAACCATAGGAGGAGAGCACGGTGGAGATCTCCCAGGCGATTCCAGGGATGTTGGCGGGGGAAACTTGCGAGAGCCGTGCAGACAGTGCCCGCAGGATGCCATTGAGGGTGATCCATTCGTTCAGATCGTTCTTCGCTTGCTCTGCCGCCGCCACCGCGTTGAAGCCGAGCGCTGTTCCCAGCGCTTCGAACTGTAAGGTCAGCGCGCCGAGGTCGCTATTCTCCGCGGCCAGTGCGGTGACCCATGTGTTGATCGTCTGCCGCTGGGCGTCGTCTACCGTGATGCCTAGCTGGGGCAGCAGCTCATCGGCCATGTAGGCGGCAAAGGACGATGGGTCAGGAAGACTCCTCACCATGGTGGACAGCTCCGCCAGGTTGTTGAGGATGGCGGCATTGGGAGTAGCCGGGGTGGGCGGCCGGGTCAGGATTATGAAGGGGTCGCCGGTCCCACTGAGGAGGTCATCGAAGTTGAACTGCGCGTGGGCAGTGGACGCCAGCAGCGCGAACGCCACCAGCAGTGTAGCGGACCGGACCATCACCTGAAAATCAACGACAAAAAAATTCAATTTTTGCTGAACTGAAACTTAAAGCTGCATTAAGCATGCTGTAACATTAGGACGATACAAAGGGTCAATTTTCTGGTCAATGCACTACAAGTAAATCTACTCCATTGTAAATACGTGTCATTCAGTTCCTAGATAAGAATTCGAAGTGTAGAACACATATCAAATTGAACGCCTGGGGTATCCAGGAGACATTAACAAACAGCTTGTACCAGTCAAAAATTCAGAAATTTCCCCCGATCACCAACCGTCTATGTTTTTTTTTTAAAGTTCGGGAGCAGGGTGACCATATTTAGGCCAAACTTACCACGAAATTGAGTTAAATGTGAATTAAATTTAACCCCCGAACTCACAGTGTATGCATCAGTGTATTCAACCTGAACTTAACGTAGATGTCAGCAGTGATACGAGTGCCAGTCAATGAAAGCTTTTCCATGTTAACTTTTCAGTCATGCGGCTAGAACGACTGGGTCTGTTTTGAAATGGACGCGCTCTAGTTGGTCTCTCCTGGGCTCGCACTAGGGAATTCATCAGTCATTGACCTTTGTCTTTTATCTAGTTCCAGACAGGCTAGGGTTAGGTGGGCAGTCTTGCGATACGTACGTGAGACCACGTTGTTATAATCTCCTTGAACTGGAACGTTTTCTAAACCTTTTTTGCATGACAGGGCGTTTAACTTCTTTGCACCTTTCTCTATTGCCTGAATAACTTACATGTATATACAGCGGTAAGACAAAAACCAGGAAGCACAGGAGTATGGAAATCAGACTTGAGAAAACAAAATTCTCAGGAAAATTTTAAAATAAGCACAAAGAACAGAATGGCCTACCTTGCCGTGCAAAAACTATTCATTCAAACTCAAGGTACTTTCATTTGGTTCTTTATACGACGAGAATTACCCAGTAACAAAACCCAAAGGAAGCCATTTCAGAGTTTAATAATTGCTTTTTCACGACGGATCAAAAGACAAATATCTCTCTACGTATCCACTTCTTCCAGTAGTAATTTTGTTAGATGAAAACAGGTACGGAAAACTAATTACAAGTAAACCTCTAAAACTACACCGTGGGGTCCTAAGATAACTGCTAATGATGATCTCTGAGATGTATACAGTAAACCTAACAATCTTCTTGCAATAGATAAGAGACAAGAGTATTTTGTTTACGTGCTTTAGAAAACAAACAACCTAGTGCCTAAATAACTATTCTGAACTACTTATCATCAATCTACGATCTTCAATTACACTTTTATATAAGCTAATAATCATTCAAATCATCACCAGAGTTGGTTTTGTAAATGTACATGTATCGCATGTAAACATTTTAGAACGAATAGATAAATACTTAGCGAGACATTGCATCAGAGACCAAACAAAGAAGTATGTTTTCTTATCACAACAGGGCCTGGTTAATCACAAGCAAATCTTAAAGAAGCGGTTGAGTAAACACTAAGACAAGCTAAGACAGCCGGCACATATGTACAGAGTCTGACTGTCTTTACCGAGGCGTTACGGTTGAGTTGGTCTGAGAAGACGTGTTTGAAGTGCGGGTGTGTCTACACGTACCCCGGTACTATCGGTACCTCCCCACCTCCTGTCAAGCAGAAATTCAAACGCCTCACGTCACATCTACAAAGACGGGCCGTGCCTGGCACTGGGGGTTAAAGGCATTCTATGCAATTCTAAGGCGGCGAAATAAAAAAATGTTCTAGATGAAAAACATTATCTGATATTGACATTTATTGCCATTTCTTAGCAAATTTTCGTCATCATTTCATAATTCTACTTCATACTACTATTTCCGAGTTTGTGGGTGTCTATACGTACCCCGGTACTATCGGTTCCTCCCCACCTGTCAAGCAGAAAATTCAAACGCCTCACGTCACATCTACAAAAAGACGGGCCGTGCCTGGCACTGGGGGTTAAAGGCACCCAATGCAATTCCAGGGCGGCGAAATGAAAAATATTCTGGACGAGCAAATCTGTCTGATACTGAATTTACTGGCAATGCTTACCACATTTTCGTCGTCATTTCATACTTGAAGCGTTTGCAAAAGCCCCCAAAGAAGCTACGCGAGGAACCCTTATATTTTTTGGAACCACCAATAAATACTGAAATCACTCGGTCTTTAAAAAATAGATGTATTTTTCACTGTGAAACAAGTTACTAAATTTTAAGGTAAGCGTCGTACAAGCCTTTGTTATGTAAAAGAGATTATGTTTTTCCAAAGTTTGAAACAACAAAAGTAAACGTTTGTGCGTTCTGTTTTGCTAAGCTTTTGAGTAATGGGAGTTTGTTATCAAGATCAGTTAAGCGCAGCTCCGATTTTTCACAGAACAGTTCTAAGCACCTGTTGTTTCGTATAATCATTGAACCTTCAACAATGATACCGCTAAAACTTCACTATAGCAAGAACCCTGATGTTGGTATAAGCCCGCTCCACTTGCTTGTGTAATAACACGTAGAGCCTGACTAGAAAAATTCCACAGGCTTAGCATTGAAAGAGCTATGCAAGACCACTCGACAAGTACTGCCTGGCACGGCTGGGTGTTGAGCCATATACATGATCCTGCCAAATACATGACTCCGACGCTACTTGGAGGTTTCCAATATACCTGAGACAAGCTTAAGGGGTGGAAGCTAAGGGTTTAGTCGTGATGTGGGAGACTAAACCTAACCTAGCCCAAATCGCGAGTCTAACCCTAGCCCTGAACAATGATCCTAACTCTAACACTAACGCTAAAACGAACCCTAGCTCTAAACACCTGACCTCTTACGTATTCCCTTTTTCGTAAAGTGTAATCAGTCCTTTTTAGCCTTAGTAATCTGTAGGCAGCCTCCCAAAAAATCAACGTAATTCGTAATAGTACATTAGCCGCAAAGCGTTAAAAGTCGTAATGAGCTCTGAGAATTTAACGTAATTCGCAATCGACGGCGAAAATTCGTAATTACCCCCCCCCCCCCATGCAGGCCCTCAAGGATTTGGCTCAACACCGGCGCGAACACCTGAGAACACCTGCTTGTTCCACTCCCCTGGTCGGCATGGCAACGTGACACACCTGGTTGGTTGACCACACCCCTTGTCTTGTTCGCTAGGCCACAAGTCAAGTGTTCAATCTATGACTAAAACGCCAGAATTTCTCCCAATGATCGCCACTTCAGAACTAATGTGTAAAAATTGAAGCCCTTACAGTAAGATTTTTCCGTGAACAATTTGGTGAATGAATTCATATTCCTTATGTTCACAACCACTTGCTTAACAAGAGCCGACGTTTCGGTGACCGTCTGTCTTCTTCTTAGGGAAATTATGACCGGTTATGACTAGTTCAGTCTATAGGGAACCAGTCATAATTGCCCTGATGAAGATGACAGACAGTCATCGAAACGTGTTGTCTTGTTAACAAGTGGTTGAGAATAAAGAACGTTGCTATTCAAGCAAAAGTTTCCCAAAAAAACGAAGCAAGAAGAGCAAACTTTGAGTTCAGATTGTATTATATTCAGGTTCAATGAAAAGAGGAGATTTCTACATTTTAGAGAAAATCTCTCTAGCTCGTCACGGCTTGCAAGACCCATCCACACCCCTTTCTGTAGCCGGTAGAATATCAGTTTGCTGACTAACAATCGAAGCAAGACGACCAAACTTTGTGTATAGTACCATACTATATAGGTTCAATGTACGGAGGAGATTTCTACAGTTTTAGAGGAGATATCTCTGACTCTCTAACCAGAATGACCATTAGGTCACGGCTTGCACGCCCCAGCGGACTACACCCCTCTCTGTGCCGGTAGCATACCACATTACCAGTCTGCTGACTAACAATCGAAGCAATGCAAGAATACCAAACTGTGCTCAGTACATATAAGTTCAGTATACAGAAGAAATTTCTACATTTTAGAGAAAATCTCTAGCTCTACCAGAATGACCATTAGGTCACGGCTTGCACGCCCCAGCGGACTACACCCTACTCTGTCCTGCAAGCATACCACTCTGGCGACTGACAGTCGAAGCAAGAAAACAACAAACTTTGTATTCAGTATATATAAGTTCAATGCACAGTACAGAAGAGAGTTCTACATTTTAGAGAAATCTCTCTAGCTCTACCAGAATGACCATTAGGTCACGGCTTGCACGCCCCAGCGGGCTACACCCCTTTCTGTGCCGGTAGCATACCAGTCCGCTGACTAACAATGGCCGAGATTTGATCTATCGGTCACTAACCATCGGACCACGCCCGTACCAGACACCAAACCATTACCATTTTTTCTCAAACAGAACCAGCTTTGAAACTTAAATTATCATAAAACTAGCTTCTATATTTACTTAAAGGAAATCATGATCAATTGAAAACATTTTATAAGAGGTAAATCGTTCAGTCTAGAAGAAAGGCGTTCTTGTTCAAGATAGCGCTTAAGTAAACAAGCGGATGTTTCGTAAGGTATCTGAGGGACTCGCTCTAATTCCCACCTTTGTACGCGTCTCTATTCTGACCTAGTACTCTTGTTGGATGACACAGTGAGGAGAAAAGAAGTATATTTTACAATAAATTCCACCGACATTGACAATCCATTAACACATATACGGACATCTTCGATCAACGCTGAATTAAAATTGCAAAAAAAAAAAGGATTTTCAACAAAGAAATGCCAACCTAGATCTCTACAACAACCTTCTATAGTGTTAAATACAAAATTAACCCTTTGCAACGTGTATGCGCCATTTTCTGAGTTCTCTCGCTTAAAGTTAAGATGAAAAGGGGGCATACAATACGGCCCCACCTACCACACCTGTGAAGACACGCACAACTACAAAAGAATGGTAGAGACCAAAGCAGGTCCGGATGAAGACCTATCGGTCAATAGCGCACGGACTTAAACAAATTCAAAATCTTAGCAACAATTGGAAGTACTTCAGTATCAAGTAAAGTAGGGGTATGTGCGAATCAAAGCATAAATACACATGATTCAGAAAATACGACCTAAACTTTCTGAAGGGTTGCGATATGCGTTACTGATACTCGAAATTCACCGGGTTCCCGCAAACGAAATTCCGACAAAAGTAAAAAAAAAGTTAACGCAACTTTAGTGTCTGCATTTAATTAGCTACGCACAAGATTCCACTTCGACCTAACACAGGGACATAGAGCTAGGGTGCCGGCTCCATTGTCAATCGTCCGTGAAAAAATGCTAAAACCTACCTCACTCCTGCAGTCACTTTTCTTAAAACCAGAAAAAAAGTTAACAAGATTTTCGCAAACGTTTCAAGACGATTGTGGAATAAGAAGGCGACTTTTTCTTACCTTTTTCTAGACGTCTGCGAAGGTTTCTTGAAGAAGGTCCTCTCGTGGAAGCAGCGTGACGGAATGAAGGAGTCGGCCGAGGAGTGCCAGCCTCTTAAAGAAAAAAGCCGGGCGTGGTCTATTTGCGGTGAATGGGTCAAAGCGTTTGATAAGTCCCCGTGCCTGGCACTATCCAAAGGTGTTCTGTTACCTGTCGGTCGTATGGCCACGCCCCCGGCTGTCGTCTTCGTGCCCTCACGGTCATCTGCTGTCAAGACTTTCCTTGGGCCACAGCAAGTCATTTTCATGGATGACATCAACGCGCGCAAATTTTGTTGCCATCTGACAGTGGTCGACATGCCGAAAATGGGCAAAGATGTCTGTTGCCATACCGGAACGTGAATGGCAGATAAATATGAAGAGAGGAAACAAGACAAGGCCCTGCTTTAATGTTTTTTTGGCTTTCATGCAGTGATGCATTTCATCCCTTTTATATGTGATGTTGGCTCTGCATATGTGATGTTCCCACTGAAATAAAACCATTTGTACAATGATTGTTTCAGTGAGAAAGGGATGTTGTAATATTTGCAGTAAACGTAGCACAATGTAGGGATCATTTTATGTTAACAAGATTTTTTATATAAAAATTTGAGAATGTAAGGATCTTGCTTTTGGGTCCCGCCTGTTTTTGTTTGCCCTATCGCATTAATAAGTTTGTCTGTGGAGTATGTCATCCATAGAATTTACTTGCTGTGGCCTTAGTTGTTAAGGCTTTCTGTTCATACGAACAAGATATCACCAGAGCGCTACGTTTACTCATTACTCACTTGTGACGTATGTGTTCGCTTGGCTTGTCGCCTTGCTTGGGTTTCCTTTGAAGCATCCTTGCATAGAAACAGCCCATTAATTCGACATTCTTTTTACTGTCTAGAAATTTCGCATGCATTTCTAACACATAATACTCTTTTCCAGATTTCCGTGTCTACAATTTATCTATGGCTTAAAGTATAATTCAAAGTAGAGCGTTTACAATTAATTCAAAACAAAATCTTACCATTTTTTTGCTATATGTCGTATGGTAAATTTGATCTTCTGTAAGAAAAATGTTTAATACTTCTGAAACGAATCAAAACATGAGAAAATCGCAGGTTACGCTTATTTCAGCTCAACTGGATGCTCATTAGCATAAAAAGTATCCATTATAGGCTACAATGATGTCATGGTCTTTGTAGCTGATCATGCGCGATAATGTCTCACACCACGTGATGTCCACGTGATAGCATGACGTCACAGCTACGTGCCCTGCTACAGGTGTGGTAACGACCGAGAGACCAATGGTTAAGTAACTAACTATTTGTCAACAGTACTTTATTTATTGTACAACAATCGTACAATGTACAATGTATGCCTTATAAATATGTGTACAGAATCACAACGGATCAAAGGGAGAACGAAAAGAAGAAAAAAAGAACGAAAAAGGAAAGGAGAGGAAGAAAGAGGGAATGGTGAAAGAAAATCAGAGAAAGAAAATGTGCCAACCAAGACTTAGGACTAAGAAATATTTTCTTTGTAGTTTTCATGTTAGAGCAATCACATCCGTTATACGATCATTTTACGTAGGATTTTTTTTCGCGTGGCTATGACCAAACTGATCGTGGGAACATCGAATTTCGCACACGACACGTTCACGACTAATGCTAGCACAAGTATGCCCTGCAGTTGCTGTCGTAAACCTAACGTACGACGCACATGCGACTTTCCGCCGACTCTTAACACTCAGTGCAATTTTTTTCGTAAACATCCAGTTAATAATATTTATCATAGAAGCAGTGACGTCTGTACATAACAGTCTACAAAAACAGCCAATATGGCTGAGTTACCATAACCTTGGGTCTATTGAGCTCGAAGTTGTTGCGCGAATGACCGGAAGGTCGATGAACCTGTTCAGTCGAGCGGTATGCCTGCTTACAATAATGGAGTTAACAGACGTGAAAGTCTGAATAGAGTTCCAAATCCACTCTGGCAATGTCTGAATAGATTTCTGAATTCTTTCTTAAAAATTGAAAATATAGTTCGGGAAGTCAGTGGATTTGTGGAAATTCCGTTAATTTCACTTTTCGTCACTTATTCACAGTTCTGCATTGTCCTTGTCTTAGTGTGTTCTTTCTTTTTTTTTCTAGGCATTGGTGGCACCATCGAGTTAAAATACAGATTTTAACTCCATGGTGGCACCTTTTCCTGTGAATCACAAAGTACTATACATTATACAAATCCTAGTCATCATTGTATAACTGGTGATTCAGTCGTTTTCTGAATGACGTAGTCAACATACTCAACATTTTAGTAGGCTTGGCTGATTCAGTCAATAGACACTGTGATAAATACACAAATAAAACCAACCCTATAACAGTTCCTAAGCAACGGAATGCAAAGTTTGCCATTCACCAAGCATTTGACAGCAGGCAAACGATACTGTTCAAGAAAGAATTTCCTCACAAAAGAAGTGTGGACTCGTAGTGTCACAAGCTCCTCGAAAATAACAAAAGTCTTAAAGGCCTCAGTGGCAGGCTCCGACCCGTCTACCTATGTGCCAAAAATATGACGCAATCTTCTAAAATAAGCTACTAGACCTGAACTCCTATTTAAGTATAATGCGTCTTATAATATGAAAGAAAGAAATGGAGAGAGGGGTAAATAGATATAGATATTCCTTCTTAGTCCATTCGATAGTCAAATAAAACGAATATGTTAAGAACGATGACTTATTTACGGCATCTCAATAGAATACCATTACCATTGCAATTCAAACCTTTAATCAATAAAGTTGCTTCTTCTTGAAACTTTGTCTAAGTTTACCAACAGTCTCTAACAGGCCCCTTTGGGACTAAAAGAATCCTATGGTAGAAAAAGCCATTGAAAATGTCTGAGAGAGGTCTAGCTTTTGGGGAAGGGAGTACCCAATGTCTGTTTAATAGTTACAAGGTCCAGGGAACAAAAGTAATCTTTCTATGGCAAGATAACTTCTTCAGCATTCTTGTTTAGTTTCTACTATCTATCGGCCTTTTAAAGAAGTCAGACATAGGCCTAGTTACCCCACAGAGTTGAAGTACATATTTGTTTTTGTCCTTTACGTCACCATGTTTGTCGTTCAGATCGCTTCAAATATTTGCTGCACTCTTTTCTATTATAGAGCTATTTGCCCAAGGGTAAAGGGCTGTATTTGACTTGCCACTTTTTGTGTGTTAGGTTTTGCTCGGAAAATATTTAAGCTTCTTTTTTCTCTCTAGCCCCAAGACTACCCAATTAAGACAAAATCACTTTTTTTTTTATTTTAGGCGACACCAATTAAATTTCTTGGTTCTCGGATTCGCCTCTTCATTTTTCTCTGATTTGCAAAAACAAAATTCTGAATTAACTCAAAAATGCTCATATTTTGCCCACAACAGTTGAGGAAGGTCATTTTCTTCCTATTTGTTACAGTTTTTCCATCTATCAATACAGTGGTTTGATTAAAAGTTCAAAATTTATTGTTTGAATATTAATCCAGCCTTTTGTGTTGACTTCATGACTCCTATCATTGTATTTGGGGCTATAATAGGATACCTAATCCTGTGTTTATTATTTAAACTTTTTTTTCGCCCTGTCGCTTCATATTTTTTCTGGAAAAATCTGAGAACCAACAAATTAAATTGGTGTGGCCTTAACAAATGCTAATTATTCCTAGGCGTATCCTAAAATGCCTGAATTGATACACTATCCTTTCATGCTTTCTAACGCATTTGTTTAAGCCCTGTCACGCATGGCTGAATATGACCTCTCGAACACTTCCGAACTCCTCCCAACCATGGTTGGGAGTAGGTCGGGAGCAGGGTCGGCTGTGGTTGGCTGGTGTTCGGCAAGGTTGGCTACTGTTCGGCTGCGCCAGCCGAATGGTTCAAAATGTTTAAACATTCGGTCAACGTTGTAGATGGGAGGTTGGGTCATGGTTGGCAGGTGGTTGTCTAGTGTCGTCTTTCTAAGGATAGCAGTAGGATAAGCTTGCAGAGATTAAAAGCAGGGAAACATAAACAATGGATAATCCCATGGCTATTATGTTGTCCGGATATAGGCCCAATGGAACCATAGGCCCTCAGCCTAGATTAAGTAGGCTTAACAACCTATACGGATAATACTGACACCGGGGCTGCTAATGTATTAACATACCCTAATATGGAACAAAAGCTCAATACCTTGCTTAGTCTCTTTAAGGATATCTCAGTGATAATTGTGTCAGTGGTAGCAAATTTGAAAAGGCTACTAGCTAGTGTCTGTTTTCGTAACAGTAAGCAAACAACTGTTGTGAGTTCTAAAGACTTTCACTCTCCATACCCCCTTTAGGACCCAGGGACATATGTCGTATGATCTTTGTATGGTCGCAAGCTAAGGGGACATCCAGCTGCCTTGTAACAGAAAAGGCTGTCTTAGATACTTATTAGTTGATTTTCTCGTAGCCTGCTTGAGAATTCTACAGCACCCAAATCGTACAACGACCTACATCGAAATCTAAGGGCACAATGGATAGAAATGACACCGCTAGTCAGACTCGTTACCAAATCATTAGTCTGGATACAGACAGTATCCCCTGGTCATGAACGAGACGTTGTTGGACGAGTTAAAATCGCGCGCGAGTTCGTAGAACCACGTTCCAGTCATATCTTTCATAGGCGGTTCTGGCGTGGGCAAGACGACCCTCGTAACAAAGTTAGTGTCCGTGGATGTTGAGATACAAGACTGGCCATCAGTTGCAAAACCACATCAACTAGACCCCCGTGAATTAGCTTCATCAGGTTGGTAAGACACTGAGTGAAGAGACTCTAATTACACAACCAAGTCTTTTATTCAGCCGACGTTCACCTGCGACGTTTCAGTGACCGTCTGTCCCCTTCCTCAGGGCAATTCTGACTGGTTCACATCGCACTGCAGCACAGGTGTCGCTGCTACAGATGCATTCCCAGATGTACGATATTTACATATCTACACTGCAATGCGATGTGAACCAGTCAGCTAGGACTGCCCTGAGGAAGGTGACAGACGGTCACTGAAACGTCGGCTGAATAAAAGACTTGGTAGTGTAAAAAGTGGCTCCACTCACATCAACTAGAGCCGGAGACGTGTGGCTTACATGTCAACACGGAGATGGACTTGCCTAGAGTGAGCAGCAATGGACCCACACCTATGTACCTAGGGCTATCCTAGTAGACACGAAGGGGTGGGAGGGCACTACCCAGAGAAGCCAACAAGCAGCTTCGTGAGAAGATCCTCATCCCCCAATGGCTGCACAGCATCGTCACCGATCATTCGTCAAAGGGGAGAGCACTGACGCAAAAGGTACTGTCTTCCTTGAGTTTTTCTACCTGGGTGGTTTTACACCTGAAGTCTCAAGGTGGCGTTCAGGACTGACCTGCCGTGTCGGCATCCTACAAAGGAAGGTAAAATTCTATTCACTTTATCTTTTGTACTAGTCTTCAATGTGAAGTGAATACACCTACGATTAACGCTTAGTGTTTTATTGGCTTACTCTAGGATTCATTTGTGCAATAGATCTAATCAATCGGTTGGTTGGTTGGTTGGTTGGTTGGTTGGTTGGTTGGTTGGTTGGTTGGTTGGTTGGTTGGTTCGTTGGTTGGTTGGTTGGTTGGTTCGTTGGTTCGTTGGTTGGTTGGCTGGTTAATTAATAATCATAAACTACACTATTCAACACATAACATTAATAACATCATTGACAAATATACCAACTCATCTATATAACACCGAGATGCTTGCAAGACACTAGTATCATACGCACGCGATTCTATAACTTTATGTGGAGATTTTCGACACAAGTAATATTAGGGTGCTTTCTCAATGCGTATACGTTTTCTCTGTAAGTTTTTTATACCAGCCGCTCTGGCCTCGCCTAAGTTTTTGTAAGATGGTAGTCCCATGTGCAAAAGTCTGTAGTTATAGATCAGAGTCATAACACTGTAGTCCATCTCTTTTTTCGTGTATTTCCGCCCTTTGATCTCCCTGTCCATATAGAACGCCTGGAAAGCAAAACAACGAATCAGTAAATACATCCGTATGACAATTTTCGTGTTTCGTATATTTTAAAAGGCTTCTTCACGTTAATTCAATCAGTGCCAGTAAAGCTAAGTCATAGGCTTATCAGCTTCTGTAGGAGCATCAATAGTTCTCTATTCCGTTGCTCTATTACAGAGCCTTTTCCTTGGACATAAGAATACATAAAATTTGGTGTAGAGTCCTCCAAATTAAGGAAGTGGCAGAAAATAGTTTCAGTACCCACCTTTGTTCTTGTGATGTACCAACAGAATTCCTGGTCCACTTGAAATTCAGGGTTCCATTTCGATGCTGTCACAACCATGGACTGATTGCCTCCATTTTGAACTGTCATTGTTCTAGTGCAGAAGTTGCTGACATCATGCTTAATGCGTTTGAAATATTTCAGCTCGTCGTAGAAACCTGGGCCCTGGTACAAGATTAGAGGAATTAAATAAGTTACAGTTCTTACATAGTTCTCGTATCGTGTAATACCCCGTACAAAATTAAAAAAGATTGGAAGGCTATAGAAAAAAACACTAACATCATAGCTTCTGTTGCTGTCCATTATCTTAAATTTCTTGTGCTTGCTTAGTTGACCAACTATTTTCAGTGCATTCAAAATTAACTAAAAAAACAGTAGATTACCTGTTCTTTGATCTTTCTCCACAGTGAATTGTTGAACGTGTTGTACAGCATGTAATCCACGGCGCTCCAGGCACGGTGGTTCTCCAGTTCTTCTGGTGTTGCCTTGTACGTCTTATACGGGTAACCGCGTGAGTTTTTCCTCTTGGAGTATAACAGAACATCTCGGAGTTCCCAACACATCAGACGCCTCAGAAGCACAATGGATTCGTCCAAGTGCTCAAGAATCATCACGATGGTGAAATCGGCGTCTAACTCGCTGATGTACTTACTAGCTTCCTCCTAATTGGTTAAAAAAAGGAAATAGCAACCCATATTTCATTGGAGGTTAATGATGCTATTAGAGGTTGTTTGCGATGTTTCACCGAGACATACATACATGCACCGCCAATGGGAGAGTTCGGTAAAATCCCACTTCTGACACCACTTTTCAATTTGTCTTATCAAGTATGTCATATATATGCCATGTCTTGGACCATGGGGAATTCCTATCTGCCTCTGTTATGACTCCTTGTAAGACTTTCTGACTAGATGAGCGAGGATGAGAAAAATGTTAACGTTCTTGACACAGGTTTTATATACAAATATACAGAATGATGTGGAATTCCGGAAATATCAAACAAGAACATTGGCACAAGCTAGGACAACAACCATATTTACAAACCATCAGCAATTGAATTTTACCATTATTTTTTTTTTACATTCAAGCTGTTCACTTACTTCTTCATCTGCCCTCTCGGCAGGCCAGCCCATGTCAAAGGTCATGGGGTTCCTGGTCCCGTCCCACGTGATGTTCACGTGAGGGAAGAATGTCTCGGACCTGCTCCTGAATTTCCAGGGGTCCTGCAGGAACTTCTTCACAGGGTTGTTACTGTGTTGGATCCCAAGTGTCTTCGGCAGGTGGAAGTAATTAATCTGAGACTTGAGATGACTGAACGGTTTTCTTACTATAGCTAAGGATTAAGAAGAATAGCATATGTCATCAATTATGTTTTAAGGAAATACTTCAGGCTTATCACATGCATGGAGAAAGGAACAGGGATGTCCTAGTAACTAAAAGAAGCCGAATTTATCTAAGCTTAGTAGTCTTACGTATGCTATGCTCTTACTGAGATAGCATAGCTTTTAGATGTGTTCAGGATCGTATATAAAGGTGTGAGATGTGAGCAGGATCGTATATCCTTATAAACTAATCGACAAAAACGTAATATGAAGCACATCGTCACTTACATATGTACTGTGTCTCCGGTGAAAACTTGCTCAGTAGCCACGTCTTGTTGTAGACGAAATGGTGAAACAGCGCTTCGTACTTTTCCTCCGGCATGTGGACGTACTCATTTTCTTCTGGGGGGAACGGCCAACTTAACGCACCCTGACCCACAGGCATTAGTACATTTAGTTTGTTGTAAATCGCGTAACGCTGAAAGATGTTGATAGTCGTGGTGCTGCCTGTCTTGTGAGTCCTTATAAAGACGAATTTCCTTCTTGGGGCACAGGATCTTGAAAAAGTGTCTTTGTCTTGTGTTCTAAAACGAAAATCAACCTTAGAGTGATTGTAAAGAAATACACGAAATATAATGTTGAATGTTGATAAAGATAATGTCATGCGAAAAGGCCAATGCCCTTCCTTATACTGCCATGTTTAAACTGATTATACTATTCATAAACAAGAAAGAACTCTCAAAGTACAGATGGTTACAATGGCCAGTAAAAGCCATTAATGATTATCTTCTGCCATTCCTGTACCCAATACACAAACCTATCCTTACAAGCTTTTCCGTTATAAACTTAACATTTTAACACTTGGTTTGAAGATTTTATACGCATACCACATCCACTATTCTCAGTATTAGAGGCATTATGTTCCAAAATTGTCTCACCTTAGGGTGTCGTGCGTGGGTATATTGACCTGAAACCTGTTGTTTCGTCTCTCGGTGTTTAGATAGGACGTGTTTGGCACGTAAGATTGGTGAACAGTGAATAATAACAGTGTGGTGGAGACCCCCGTCAAGAGTCCATAAACCAGCAGTTTTCTTAGTTTCATTCTTGGCGCTTTCTACCTGATATATGAAGAAGAACAACCTACGCTCTACCTTAACAATACCCACGAAACGTTTTAGACGGACATACAAGCGATACAGAATGAAGCATTGACCTTTTGTGCTTCAGGGGTTAAAGGTAAACTTCTTAGACGCTACCCGTCGAGTAGGTTTTGTACACCGGCCCGTGAGTAACTTACCGGTGCAATAACTCAATTGGAAGAGTGCTCGCTTTGTAACCGGGAGGTCGTGAGTTCAAACCCCGGCCGGGTCATACCAAAGACTTTAAACAATGGTACACACTTCTTTCTCTGCTTAGCACCCAGCAAATATGAAAAAGAGTGTGGGAATGGCAAACACACAGCACTACCGGCGGACTAACCCCCTGCCGTAGTGCTATGGAAATGGAGATGGGAACCACCCCTATGCTCTGCATAGAGTGGAACCGGCCTGTGAGTAACATAAAGGCGAGGAGCAGTGCAGGACGGCCACTGTTCGTTCTTGGCGGATTGTTTCTGATGTTTGTATGTCCAAGCATTGCTACCACCGTTTTCGTTATGCTGGGGCCCAGCCGGGCTGTTTCAATTAACGAAAAATCAACAATATATATCAAGAATATACGTTTTATTATCTCAGCATTACAGATGTGCACTCTGGATAATAGATGTATCCACTTGTTTTCTTGTATCGTTCTTCCTGTTACGGTATTGTGTTGTTGCTGTTTCCTTAATTAATTAATGCATTATCCAATGATGAATTGTTCTGTGATATTTAACGTAATAGATTGAATGTAAATCCTATTTTCACAATGAGTTTGCCTGTTGTAAGTGCTCATTCCATACTTACATGCCATAGGAATAAGCATGAAGACAAGAAACGTTATTTTATCAATATTTATTTATTTATTTATTGAAAATGCAACAGGACATTACACTGACTCTCAAGGCAGCAAAGCTGATATTAGAGAGTCAACATATAAGGACAAAACACAAAAAGCACATAATTTCAATACAATATGAAATACAAGAACAATCATAACCTAAACTAACCTGTATCAATCTGATTAATTAAGTACATATATATACATAATGAAAATAATGCATTTGGAGGTCAGAGGTCCAGAAAAAATATATATATACAGTACTACCTCATAAGAGAAAATTGGTACATAAATAACAAGGCTAGGAGGAACAGCTGGAAGTGCCTAGAAACGGTTTGTTGAAGTTATGTAGGTGTGGAAGGCATGTGAAAGGCTTTTGTTTAGTGTAATGTCATTGCCTGGGGACCCGTTGAGTAGAACACTGGTGGAGAGGGGCCGTCTCATGAGGCGGTACACAGCTGTGGCAAGGTCTTGTCGTGCAGCTGCGTGCAGCTGCATTTTATCAATATGAGATGCACATCAAAGTATATAATCTGAAAATAAAACATTCTATAGAATCTTTTCTGCATAAGTTATTTAAGTCTTGATTAGGAGACCATCATAATATTTTGACTCCTGATACAGGAAGAGCATTCTAATATAAATTCATTTCTCATTATGAATCAACTAAGCTAGCAGGCTAGTCACGCTCTATGATACACATAATATAAATATGAGAAAAATAAACGACACTATTTAGGTGCTGATTTAACGCGCATTTTTCCGGGTCCTCCCCCTATGCCCCTAATGCCAGCCGCCCTGGCCTCGCCTAAGTTTTTGTAAGATGGCATTCCCATGCGCAAAAGTCTGTAGTTATAGATCAGAGTCATAACAGCGTAGTCCATCTCTTTTTTCGTGTATCCTCTTCCTTTGATCTCTAGGTCAAGGTAGATTGCCTGGAAAGAAATTTAACAATTGAATTAGTAGAAAAATAGATCCGTGAAAATGACACATATTTCATGTTAAGTATCTTATTCATGTATAAGACATTTTGTTTTGCTTTTAGTAACAGTAAAGAAAGGGTCTTCTTCTAATAGCGTCCTTACAAACTACATTTGTTTGTCTTCTTGTTCTAGCATCAGACTCCTTTGCAGGCTGAATAAATCGTAGAAATCGTTGCAGGCAAATTGGACCCTCTATGACGAGCTAACTCTCCTGGCCAGTTGCCTTCCTTTTTGGACCGATTTCTACTATTTATTCAACCTGCAAGGGAGTCTGGGGGAGACTATTCTTTTTCTAGTTCAGTTATATGCAACTTTTAATAAAAGCGAATAGTTTCAGTACCTACCTTTGGTCTTGTGATGTACCAACAGAATTTCTGGTCCACTTGAAATTCAGGGTTCCATTTCGATGCGGTTACGACCATGGACTGGTTGCCTTTATTATGACCTTTCGATGTTCTCATGCAGAAGTTGCTGACGTCATTCTTGATGCGTTTGAAATATTTTAGCTCGTCGTAGAAGTCTGGACCCTAGAGAGTAGAAAAGAAAGAGGTTTGATACAGTATAATTCTTATAGGTCACACATGTACACATGAAGCGGTCGTGCAATAATCCTCAAGTTAAAGATATATCTTGAAAAGATTGGTAGATCATAGGAAAAAAACAATATCATAAGACTGGCTACGGTTACCGTTTATTGCTCTGAATTTCTTCTTTTTTATATTTCCAAAGTTGGCTAACCTATGTCTGACCCTAGAAATAAACGCAAGAAACAATAAATCATTTTTAACTCTATTAAGTATCGACAATATAATTTAAACGGTTACCTGTTCTTTGATCTTTCTCCACAGTGAATTGTTGAACGTGTTGTACAGCATGTAATCCACGGCGCTCCAGGCACGATGGTTCTCCAGTTCTTCTGGTGTTGCCTTGTACGTCTTATACGGGTAACCGCGTGAGTTTTTTCTACTGGAGTATAATAGTACATCTCGGAGGTCCCAGCACATCAGACGCCTCAGAAGCACAATGGATTCGTCCAAGTGCTCAAGAATCATCACAAGGGTGAAATCTTCGTCTAACTCGCTGATGTACTTACGAGCTTCCTCCTAGGTGATTGAAAAATTAAGATAGTAACTGATAAATAGATCATTAGAAAGCAATGCTGCCATCAGAGGTTGTTTGCAATGACTAATTAAGGTGTAAATACAAGTCCAGCTGGAAGTTTGATCCCATCCCACTTCTGACACCATTTTGTACTTCGTGATGATCCTAGGCCGTTATTTCTTACTCCTTGTAACACTTTCAAATTCGAAAAAAGCATAACCTTTTTTCATACATCCTATTAATTAATCATTCTTAAAGTTGCTTTTTTTATATTTCTGAAAGTTTACTTACTACTTCATCTGCCCTCTCGGCCGGCCACCCCATGTCAAAGGTCATGGGGTTCCTGGTCCCGTCCCACGTGATGTTCGCGTGAGGGAAGAATGTCTGGGACCTGTTCCTGTACTGCCAGGGGTCTTGCAGGAAAATCCTTACCGGATTCTTAGTGCGTTTGATACCAAGGACCCCTCTGAGGTGGTAGTAATTCATCTGAGACTTGAGATTACTAAATGGTCGTCGTAGAATAGCTGAAGAATAAGAAGAACGAGATGCGTGATCAAGATGTGATCAAGATGTCCAATGTGAAGTATTCAAGGTTACATTAAAATATATACATACATAATATGTATAACAGGGTTAGCAGAAAAGGAGTATCTTTTCTCGTCTTGTCTTGTCCAGGTAAAAGTAAAAGGATCACGAAGGACGTCAAGCTTAGTAGCCTTAAGTTTAGTATACTCTGTTGAGATTCAGATGTGTTGCATAGCCATTAGCCGTAGTAGTACATGTACTCGAAGGTATCAAGTGAAACTTGCTAAGAAGGTTAAAGGCGTCAATCATATACATGCATCTATCAAATCTAACAAAACATGACCCCTTCTTTTTCGAATGTATTGCCTCTATCTTCATGTCTTAACCCTTGTCCTGCTGGCATTCCTGGCACAATATTTTTCAATAATTTCATGTCTTAATTAGATCATAGACCCGCAAATTTTTTTGCCCTGCAGTGGCATAGTTACTTCCGCATTCGTTGCGTTTCGCTGCGGTGTGATGCGTTGCACGAGAAATACCCCCAAATCATACCTATACAGGGTGCTATATAGATGGTACTGTATGTGCCGCGCGACATATGTTGCGCACAGCAGGACAAGGATCCCCCTCCCGCTAAACACAAATTACCTGTTACCCTCTCCACTGAGTATATGCTGTTCAATATTACTTACATATGTACTGTGTCTCTGGTGGAAACTTGCTCAGTAGCCACGTCTTGTTGTAGACGAAATGGTGAAACAGCGCTTCGTATCTTTCCTCCGGCATGTGGACGTACTCATTCTCTTCTGGGGGGAACGGCCAACTTAGTGCACCATGACCCACAGGCATTAGTACATTCAGTTTGTTATAAATGGCATAACGCTGAAAGATGTTGATAGTCGTGGTACTTCCTGTCTTGTGGGTCCTTATGAAGACGAATTTCTTTCTTGGAACACAAGATGTTGAAAATGTGTCTTCGCCTCGACTTCTAAAAAGAAGATCAACATTGACAGTAGAGGTACATTGCGTAAAGAATCACAGAAACATTGCAGAGTGGTGGTAAATCATGTCTCCCTGGTTCAACCTTACATCGGTATTTTTAAGATTTGAAGTCCGTAAACCAAAAGGAAACTTTCTCAAAATTACAGATCTATTAACTGGTACAGATAAACGCCATTAACTTTGTCCTCTGTCATATCTCTACACAATAAGTACGGATTTTAGAAATATTACAAACATGTGCTTACAAGCTTCTTTTGTTTGTAGATTTTACGTGTAAGCCAAATCTACTGTCCCAGTTCTCAATATTACCAAGAAGGTTGTTAAATCAATTTGATTTTAAACCTCCTTGATATTACTTGGAGATTTTGTATTCACGATTGGTCTCACCTATGGGGGTCGTTCGTAGGAAGGTCGACTTGAAATTTAGCGTTTCGTCTCTCGGTGTTGACATATGACGTGTTGAGTGGCGCATACGATTGGTGAACAGTGAATAATAACAGTGTGGTGGAGACTCCCGCAACGAGTCCATATGTGAGCAGTGTCCTTAACGTCATTCTTTCCTCTCTCTCCCCCGTTTAAGAAGAAAAAGAACCTACTTTTTGAAAGCTATACCTTCGCAATATCCTATAAAACAGACAAACATGCGATACAGATTAAGGGGTTAAAGATCACCTACCCAAGTCATACCCGTCGAGCAGGTTTTGGAAAACACATATACGTCACATGTGACGTCTGTGCTTGGCGGCTTGTTTGTAATTGTCCGCTCTCGCGGTAAAGTTGTGTATCTTGAGTATACTAGACAGTACAAGCAAATGTATTTACTAAGTGTAGCGGCTTTGCATGTAAAAAGCCTTTGTCACAAATTTAGCCGAATATGGCCTCCCGAATTTCTCACAACCGTGGTTTGGAGTAGGTCGGTATGTTGAAACATTCGGGTGTGGTGAGGTTGGGCCAACATTTGCTGGTGGCTGGTTGGTGTTCGGGAGTAGGTCAGCAATATTCGGAGCGTGTTCGGGGGTACCAGCTTGACTCAAACTCGATTCGATTCGTAAAAAAAAGACATGAGACTGATTATCTGATAGTTTGATTGATTTTAAGTGGCGCAATTTAACACAAATGACTTAGATAGCATCATTGACAGTGTGGACCTATCTATATAATGAATTATAATGACACAAAGGTGGCGGTATGATATTGTATTTTGTGTATTTGCAACGTGTCTGCTGGTTGCTAACCATGTTTTACAAAGCTTTGGGGAATGCATGTGTTAACAACAAAATACACAAAAAGGTACCAGACTTCGCTTGTACCACTGAATTATAGCATTGTATTGTTGATAATGTGATCTACATCGAAGTACATGTAGATTAAATGAAATAACATATTATTTTATAGTATGCATATGTCAACTGCATCTGCAAGATATGAACAGAATTCTGAAGTATGTACTCGTAATATGCATTTCTTCCAATACACGTATTCCATAGGATATAAGATCATATAAAGACAAGAAACGGGATTTGCACATCAAAGTAGATATACTAGTCTGATAATACAGTATAATGCAATTGTACCTGTTCTGCATACATCTGCTATATACTTAGTATAATTCGAGAAGTATGCATGCATGCAATTCTTAGCCTTCACTTCACACACATGTACAGCACAATAGTATGATATGGCACCATAATTTGTACACACGGTGTACATAGACTCTGTCATAGACAGGGAATGGATACGATATGATATGATATGATATGATATGATATGATATGATATGATAAACACATGAGCTGCCACAATATGCAGCATTACTCATGCGCCATTTCCACGCGTTTTGGCTTTGTGCGTAGTCGCCTAATACCAGCTGCATTGGCATCATGTTTGTTATTGAAAGTGGGGAATCCTTTGGCCAGAAGTCTGTAGTTGATGATTTGATCGATGACAGTGAAGGTCATCTCTTTTTTGGTGTATCTTCGTCCTCGAATCTTTTGGTCAAGGCTCAATGTCTGGAAAGTAAGACAAACAATAGTAAGACCGTTTAGCAATACATGTAGATCCATTAGATGAATAGATATTTTTTGAGTAAGAAAAGGTGCAGTGATATCTGATACAGCTCGTTTTTTGAGATTGACCCAGAAAACTATAATCATGCATATGGCGTTCAGAAACGCGAACTATGTCTTACACACAGATTCACTGTTCCTAGTAAAGAACAGTTACTTACACGTTCAACAAAGTTCAAATGAGTATAGATAGAATCAGGTCGTTGGCCATAGAATCAGGTCGTTGGCCTCAAGGCGTAGGCCTAAAAGATTCCTTAATTCTTTTCTTGGTGTTCTCTATAACGTACAAATTAAACATTTGATAACAAAATGTGTGAGCAAATAGTTTCAGTGCCTACCCTTGTTCTTTTGATGTACCAACAAAACTTCCTGTCCAATTCAAATTCAGGGTTCCATTTCGATGCGGGTACGACCATGGCTTTCCTGTCATTCTTGTGTTCTTTTTTGGTTCCGTTGCAGAAGTTGCTGACATCATTCTTGATACGTCTGAAATGTTTCAGCTCGTCATAGAAATCTGGACCCTTCAGAGTGAAAATAAGCTTTGTTAGACACAATCCGAAACCTGGTGATAAACATACATACGCTTGGTCGTGTAATACTTGTTCTGTCAAGTTGGTAGCTCACAGGAATAAGAACCACCATCAGTTTTATTTGCTATTGTGGCTGTGTAGAATGTTCTATTGCCCTGAAATCATTTTAATTTTACATAACGTGCTTCCTAAGTTGACTGAAAATTTTTCCGACCACTTATGACCAGAAAAGAAGATATGATTACGATGACACAACCAAGAACATAGATTAAACTTAACTGCGACTTAACATTTGCATTTTGATAAGTAAAAAAACCGTTACCTGTTGTTTGATCTTTCGCCACAGTGAGTTGTTGAACGTGTTGTACAACATGTAATCCACGGCGCTCCAGGCACGGTGGTTCTCCAGTTCCTCCGGTGTTGCCAAGTATTTCTTATACCGGTAAGGGCGCGAGTTCTTATTCTTGTTATAATACAGAACATCTCGGAGCTCCCAGCACATCAGACGCTTCAGAAGAACGACCGATTCGTCCAAGAGCTCAAGAATCATCACGAGAGTGAAATCTTCGTCTAACTTGCTGATGTACTTACGAGCTTCTTCCTGGATGGGAGTGTAAAGAGAGTAGGAAGTGTAAAGAGAGGAGAACCAACTCCCCTATTGGGGTTTCATGCAGGCTTTGTTGTATCATTGCAAACATTTTACGAGGCATTGTTACAGTAACAATGCCACGTAAAATGTTTGCAATGATACAACAAAGCCTGCATGGAACCCTAATAGGGGAGTTGGTTCGAATCCCACTTCTGACACCAGTTTGTTGCACCTCCTCATATGTTTCAATGACCAATTCTATTATATTGAAAAATTCAACAACGTCGTAACTAATCACTTGACAAGTTTTTCTCACATTCAAGTTCACTTACTTCTTCATCTGCCCTTTCGGCCGGCCACCCCATGTCAAAGGTCATGGGGTTCCTGGTCCCGTCCCACGTGATGTTCACGTGAGGGAAGAAGGTTTCGGACCTGTTCCTGTGCTGCCAAGGGTCCTGAAGAAACAATTTCACTGGATTCCCTTGACCGCGACCGTTAATCTTCATGAGCTTTGCGAGATGGAAGTAATTCATCTGGGACTTGAGATGACTGAACGGTTGTCTTATTATAGCTGAAGAGTAAGAAGAACGAAATGCGTCATAAAATTGTTTGAAGGAAATATTAACGACGAGAAATCAAGGGGCAATATCTTGTTGTGGGACTAAGTAAAAGAGGCAGACCCTAAGTTAAGTCGCCCAAACTTACTACATCTTTTAAAATGTATATCTTACCAATAGATATTAACAAAGATTAAGCTATATGCAAAGACACAACAATTTTAATAAGACGATGTAGGCAAGGTGAAAATATTTACAATTTCTCTAGCCCCTTCTTCTCTCTTTCTATCTTAATCCTGCCCATTGTACCTTTGCCTATAACAAGTTGCTCTCCTTCTTAATTGATCCAAAGCATCGATAGACTGCCTTACATATACTTGGTGCATCACCACTTACATAAATACTTTGTCTCAGGTGGGAACTTGCTCAGTAGCCACGTCTTATTGTAGACCAAATGATGTATCAGTGCGTCGTATTTTTCCTCCGGCATGTGGACGTACTCATTCTCTTTTGGGGGGAACGGCCAGCTAAGAGGACCCTGGCCTATCGGCATTAGGACCTTCAGTTTGTTAAAAATGGCGAAACGTTGAAAGATGTTGATAGTGGTAGAACTGCCTGTCTTGTGGGTCTTTATGAAGACGAATTTCTTATGCGGAACACAAGACGCTGGAGCGCTTTCTTCACCTTGCCTTGCAGAGGTAGTCGGTTCTTCTTCGTCATACCTAGAAGAAAATTTTTCTTAGAGTGAATTTTAAGAAATATATGGCACAGAAAATTCATTAAAATATGGCGGCATGGTTCGTTCACATACGAATGTTACCTCGTTCTACAGCCAACCTTCCCCGAGGGCAAAATACTTAACAGTATGTCTAAATTAAGCCCTTTTGGGTTTGGATTACGCAAGCTGTAATTAACCAGCTAAAACATGTTATATGAAGCTGATTAACATCAAAATACATCATTTTTACGCTTTGTCACTTCTGTACACATAAAAAAGAAACGATGTGGACATCACAAACGTCGATGTTTGACCTTCATTCTAAACTAGTAACCATGTAGGTTTTAAATCGTACTGAACCAGGTCACACTGTTTTCATGATCATATCCACGGTTTTTCTCACCTATAGTTGTCGTTTGCAGATAAGCTGGCTTGGAATCTGTTGTTTCGTCCCCAAGACCTGCCATGGGATAGATTTGACTGGTGAACTGTGATCAAAAGCAGCGTAGTGAAGACTACCACGACAAGGCCGTAAGAGATAAATGTCCTTAGGGTCATTCTTGGTTCTCCCTCCGCCCTGAAAGTAGAATGAAATGTACGTTGTAACTTACTCCACCCTGACGACAACGAAAAACTGATCAAAAAGATATAACAAAGACTATATTTATACAAAATGAAGCGTTCACCTTTTCGCTCATTTGGGGTTATGAGCTAGTTTGTCATGGCGCCACTTGTCGAACAGGTTTTTTTTTCTACAATATCAAATTGGCCAGGCAGTATCCATTCGCCAGAGAGGGTCCTTGGGTGGCGAATGAATATTGCCTGGCCGATTTGATAATTAAAGTCTTTTGTCACCCTAGGATCTACTTGGAAATTGTAATTGTCCGCCCTCTCGGTAAAGTTGTGTATCCTGAGTATATCTACTTGTAGTGCTAGTGGCTTTGTATGTAAAGCTCCTGTCACATATTACCAAATATGGCCGCCCGAACTTCCGGCAACGATGGTTTGGAGTAGGTTGGGAGCAAGGTCGGCTGTGGCTGGCTATTGTTCGCCTTCGCCACCCGGATATCGATGAGTTTCAACATTCAAGTTTCTGCGTGAGGTCGGGCCAAGGTTGGCTCCTGGTTGGTTGGTTGGAGTTCGGGAGTAGGTCAGTAGTATTCGGGGCGAGTTCGCGACTTAAATCTAACTCAAATTCGATTCGATTCGTGACAAAAAACAGGCGATTGATTAACTGATTGATTAGTTCTTTATGGCGCAATGTAATACACACATGACTTTGATAGCATCGTTGACAGTGTGAACCTATCTTTATTATGTCACAAAGGTGACGATGAAATTAGTATAATGTTTTTTTGTGTATTTGCAGCGTGCCTGCTGGTTGCTAACCATGTTTTTCAAGGCTTTGCGAATGCATGTGTCAACAGCAAAACAAAAAGACAAAAAAATACCAGACGTCGCTTGTACCGCTGTTACGGCATTGTATTGTTGATAATGTGATACACATCGAGGTGGATAAAGTGACATAACATATTACTCAATAGTATGCATATGTCAACTGCATGCATCTGCTAGATACGAACAGCATTTGCTACATGTGATATGCATTCCCTCCATACATATATTCCATAGGATATGAAGATATTAAGAAACCCGATTTGTTCTTGACTTACACCTAGCGAAAATGCGATGCACATCGAAGTAGATATACATGTACTGATAATACAGTAATGATCAATTGTACCTCATCTGCATACATCTGCTATATAAGTAGTATAATTCCAGAAGTATGCATGCATGCAATTCTTAACCTTCACTTCACACACATGTACAGCACAATAGTATGATACGGCACCATGATTTGTACACACGGTGTACATAGACTCTGCCATGGACAGGGAATGGATACGATATGATATGATATGATATGATATGATATGATAAACACATGAGCTGCCACAATATGCAGCATTACTCTTGCGCCATTTCCACGCGTTTTGGTTTTGTGCGTAGTCGCCTAATACCAGCTGCATTAGCATCATGTTTGTTATTGAAAGTGGGGAATCCCTTGGCCAGAAGCCTGTAATTGATGATTTGATCGATGACAGTGTAGGACATCTCTTTTTTGGTATATCTTCGTCCTCGAATCTTTTGGTCAAGGCTCAATGTCTGGAAAGTAACACAAACAATTGTTTAGTAAGACCGTTTAGTAATAGATCCATTAGATGAATAGACATTTTTAGTAACAAAAGGTGCAGTGATATCTGATACAGCTCGTTTTGTTTTTATTAAGAGATTGACCAAGAAAACTATAAATATAATCATGCATATGGCGTTCAGAAACGTAAACTATGTCTTACACACAGAATCACTGTTCCTATACCTAGTAAAGAACAGTACTTACACGTTCAACAAAGTTCAAATGAGTATAGATAGAATCGGGTCGTTGGCCATAGAATCAGGTCGTTGGCCTCAAGACGTAGGTTAAAATGTGTAAGAAAATAATTTCGGTGCCTACCCTTGTTCTTTTAATGTACCAACAAAACTTCCTGTCCAATTCAAATTCAGGGTTCCATTTCGATGCGGGTACGACCATGGCCTGCAGCTGCCTGTCCTTATTGTGTCCTTTTTTAGTTCCGTTGCAGAAGTTGCTGACATCATCCTTGATACGTCTGAAATGTTTCAGCTCGTCATAGAAATCCGGACCCTTCAGAGTGAAAATAAGCTTCGTTAGATACGATTCGAAACCTGACGATTCGATACGCTTGCTCGTGTAATACTTGTTCTGTCAATTTGGTAGCTCACGGAAATCACCGGTTTTATTTGCTATTGTGGTTGTGTAGAATGTTCTATTGCCCTGAAATCATTTTAATTTTACATAACGTGCTTCCTAAGTTGACTGAAAATTTTCCGACCACTTATAACCAGGAAAGAAGATATGAGTACGATGACACAACCAAGAACATAGATTAAACTCAAATACGACTTAACATTTGCATTTTGATAAGTAAAAAAAACGGATACCTGTTCTTTGATCTTTCGCCACAGTGAATTGTTAAACGTGTTGTACAGCATGTAATCCACGGCGCTCCAGGCACGGTGGTTCTCCAGTTCTTCTGGCGTTCCCAAGTATTTCTTATACCGGTAAGGGCGCGAGTTTTTTTTCTTGTTAGAATACAGAACATCTCGGAGCTCCCAGCACATCAGACGCTTCAGAAGAACGACCGATTCGTCCAAGTGCTCAAGGATCATCACCAGGGTGAAATCAGCGTCTAACTTGCTGATGTACTTACGTGCCTCCTCCTATTTGGGAAAGGATAATAATAACTCATGAAGAGAGAAGGATGGAGTAACGATGCCACTAAAAGGTTTGCAATGATGCAACAAAGCGTGCACCCAACCCCAAAGAGATAGTTGTTTGGAATCCCACTTCTGACACCAGTTTGTTGTACCTCGTCATATATTTCAATAGACCACCTTTATGACACCATTTTGTTTCACCTCAACATAATATGTTTCAATATCATTAATACTATTATTGAAAAAAATCAACAACGTCGTAAATAATTATTCATAAAATGCATAATCCTTTTCTCATATTCAAGTTTACTTACGACTTCATCTGCCCTCTCGGCTGGCCATCCCATGTCAAATGTCATGGGGTTTCTGGTCCCGTCCCACGTGATGTTCACGTGAGGGAAGAATGTCTCGGACCTGTTCCTGTGCTGCCACGGGTCTTGAAGAAACACTTTCACTGGATTCCCTTGACTGCGACCGTTAATCTTCATGACCTTTGCGAGGTGGAAGTAATTCATCTGGGACTTGAGATGACTGAACGGTTGTCTTATTATAGCTGAAGAGTAAGAAGAACGAAATGCGTCATAAAATATTTTGAAGGGAATATCAACGACGAAAAATCAAGGGTGCAATATCTTGTTGTGGGAGTAAGTAAAAGAAGCAGACCCTAAGTTAAGTCGCCCAAACTTACTATATCTTTTAAAATGTATATCTTACCAATAGATATTAACAAGGGAAATCGTAGATTTCAAACCTCCGGGTTTTTTTTCTATTGGTTTAGGTTATTTGTTTGTGTGTAGTATGAAAGTTATGTGCGTAATATGTTTGTATGCCGGTTTGATGGCTACTGACGGTTGGTTCGGTATGGACTGTTGATTAACGCAGTGTTCGAAATACTTTTTTGAGCAAAGTAGCACAGTGTGCTACCTAGGGCAAAAACTAGGTAGCGCAGCAGAATTTTAGGTAGCGCCACGCCCCCCCCCCATTTGTCAAATTCTATGCACGTGTCGCAATACTATATTTCTTCCAATCATAGAGGTATAATACCTCCATGCTCTAATAAAGTTACTATTTTTGAGGTTTCAACTCTGAAGTAGGAGCTCTGGGTCGAAGCCAAATTACGGGTGCGTGATTTATTCTGGTTTTCTACTGAAAAAAATCGGGACAGTATTTGCGCCGGGCAGCCGGCCATGTACGCGAAATGGTACGCCCAGTATAGCAGCGATCTATTCATGTTTTATGTTTACAATTGTGCAACTTTTTTTTTTTACAGGAATTTGATCACATATGCTTAAAAATATTGTTATACTGATGTTAAAAAATATTTTTAAGACTACTGAATCGCTGGCTGTGATGTGCAGCAGTGTACGTACGCCGCGTAGCGTGCCAGACATTGGCCGTGCAAGCCTATAGAATGCCCCACTTGCGACATAAATTTCTGAGGCTTATCGTGCGCATCGTGCGTATCCACGATTATTCCC